TAAGGCAAAATACGGTTGTGCTGAGTTCCTTTCAATTTACAATTGTACACATTTTGTTATATTTATTATTTTCTGTGAATAGGTATTTACAATCCTCGTAAAATCGTTCTGAAAATATGTGCAAAAATACGTAAAGGAATATACAATAAGAATATAGTTTAGCATTAAGTATAGGTACAGCCATACACTACCTATCTTTACAAATAAATTGTTTTTTATACTGCTTGCAACATAACTGTACTCGAAAACTTGTCATGAACTGTTATTGTACCTAAATGTAGGTAAAATAACAGTTCATGACAAGTTTTCGAGTACGTTATGTTGCAAGCAGTATAAAAAACAATTTATTTGTAAAGATAGGTATCTAGTGTATGGCTATACCTACTTAATGCTAAACTGCTTACGCCGAACGCACATTTCTGGATTGTATTTCAAAATTAATCTCGAATACCACTGGTGGTGACGAGAGTGGTTCTGGTGGGACTCGTTTTCAAAATTCCCATCGAAGTTTTGATAACTTAATGTTAACTTTTTGCCCCAACTTTTACTCGTAGATCCACCAATAGTTCACACTAAAAGAAATTGAATTGATAAATAAAAAAGGTGCAGGAATGTAGGGTTATAAGATCACTTCGGTTAAATCTGCTGTTTAAAAAATAGCGGATAAAATGCATGAAATAATGTTGTAATTCCATTCACTTTAAAAAGATGTTCTGATCATATGGCTTCCTTTAGCGATCATCATAAAGTACAATCGTATCTAAATCTTTTTTATTTTTCCCTATACATTTGCTTCAACCGCCCATCAAAAGCAGCCTTTCGGACTGTCGTCGTGTCTCTTCTGGCCCTGTAAGCTCTTATCTATAACGTGTTGAGACGCTGCCGATGCCATTCGTCTTGGCACGCTGTCGTGAGGCCGTATCTGGTCCCTGTCCTGTCTCGAGCCGCGCGCCGACAGCGGACGCTGGCCGTGTGCTGTCAGGTGCTGTCACTGTCACAACTGTCAGTTGTCAGTTGTCCGTTGTCACATCCGTCTAGAGTGCGCCCGACATGTCACTCCGTACTTGACCCGATCCAGCCGTGAGATCAAACAGCAAAAACGAGCTATCATTAACATGTGCCCTACAGATGTCTATGGGAATTGGGGAGCAATCAGCCCGACTGGGTATTCTCACACAATCCGCTGCCCTGCTCCTCGGCAGCTATTATACGTAGTCTTCCGTTGGGCCCCTTATCCCTCATCCCTTCTCGTTTGCTTCCTCTCCAAAAAGCTGAGAACACTAATGCGTTGGCCGGCTGTAAAGGCACACAGACGGACAAATGCACATACAGGCAGACAGACATACAGACCGCGATCGTTTTTGTCGGCTCATCTTGGCATGTCCATTGGCCGAAGCGGCGGGAGGCGGGAAGAGAGAGGGAGCGTCAGCTGGAGTCTGTTCCGCTCGAGTGCCAGCTCCGGGAACACAATGGTGGCGACTGTGGGCTAATGTGGCGGGCAGATCACCTGATACTGGAAACGACGGGCCGTGAACGCCCGCGGCCGGCACCTGTGACCGCGCAGCAGAAACTCAGCCAATGGTGCTTAGCAGCAGACAGACAGGCGGACAGACAGACAGACAGACGGAAGGACGGACAGACGGACAGACAGACGGACAGATGGACAGAGAGGCCGACGGACAGACGGACAGACAGGTAGACGGACGGACGGACGGACGGACAGACGGACAGACGGACAGACGGACAGACAGGCAGACGGACAGATAGACAGACAGACAGACAGACAGACGCACAGACAGACGAGCAGACAAACGGACAGACGCACAGACAGACGAGCAGACAAACGGACAGACGGGCGGACCGAACAGACGGACATCGCTAAGCCATTAGCCGTTTTCACGACGGGCTATCCGGCGAGTGCACCTGATTTGACCAAATCTGCACCTAATTTCTTTTACAGCAAATATCTTCATTTTTTGAATTTATTTCAGTGTTTTAATCGATGATGCTCTCTGATAATATGACAAAGCAGGCATATAAGCAATTAGGGCATCCCTAGCTGATAGCTGCTAAGAGACACACTGAACCTGATTTGACCAGATCTGCACCTAATCTGTACCAGATGTGCACCAAATGTGTACCAGATGGCCGTCGTGAAAAGGCTATTATCGCCTCCCGGTGACCAGTTGGTCCGACCGTTCGAACACACCGACCGGACATTCTGGTCAGACCGCAGCTCGCCTTGTCTGCCAGCTCGCCCGACCAATACCGGGCCGTCCCTATTTCTGTGGGCACTTTGTCCTGGCGGTGTAATATCGGTGGGACCCGCCCGCCCGTACCGCAGTCCGCCGAGACCCGTTCCTGTGGCCGGCGCGGCTGTCCGACCAACATATGATGGTCGGCCGAGGCCGCCGCGGAAGGTTACGATCTTATTTAATCCTGTGTTCGGACAGCCTCACGTGTGAATATTTTACCATGATAGGCACATTTGTAAAATTGAACTATAAATCAGATGGAGTTTTAGAGCGATCATCTCGCACCTTGCCGCAATCGCCATTGGTAACTTTTTTGCGCCTTGACAAAAGCCTGAGCCGAAACTGCGAAGGGGAGGGTCGACCGAAGGTTGGGACGGTGGATGATGGGGAGGGGAGGGGCTGGGAATAATCAGGCGCCGATGGTCGCTGCTGCCCCATTGGCATTCCGGGCGAATGTCAGATGTTGGCAGCCATGGTGGAGCTCAATTTCAAAATAACTCCCCTATTCCTGCGGTCTGAAACCAAATCGACTATCGTGTATGACAGAAGTTTGCTGACGATATTGATGTGAGGGAACCGTGACTCATGCAGTGAGATGACATCTGTGATAAGAAGTGCTACCCTCGGGCCTGTGGAGTTCGTGGTACCGTGGTGGCGGTGTGTCCATTGGTGTATTTATGGAGTACTCGACGCAGCGGCGTAGCAGCAAGTACATGGAGCTCAATATTCTATTCCGTGAGTATACCGAGTAGTGAACGCTGAAAATGGATGGGATTGTGCCAAGTGCCGAGTGCCGGACTGTGCATCCACCAACTCATTGATCCACGTTGTCTAATCAGTGTTCTAATAAGTCTGGAACCAAACCAAGTAATAAACAAGTGACATCACCTAAAACTTCTGGCCTCAAGACATGCCATAGGTACCACTGCCTGCAGTTTCTTAAGGGACACTGAACTCAGCTCAGACACTGACTCAGCTTTTAATTCCCATTTCCCATTAAGCTAATTGCTCATTACATTCAACAGTTAAAGCGCTTAATTTCTATTTCTAGAAGCCATTCGCAATACCTATGTAAATGTTTTATGTGTTGTTTAATTGTTAAATTGAAGCATCGTAAGATAAAGGTTCAGCAATCCAGTGCCTACCGTGTTTTGTTTTATTTTCACTCTGTCATCACGCTTGCCCTGTGCATTCGATGTAGTCAAGGCCGCTCTAGCATGGCTACATAACTGAATGTGACTCGGCGTCGCTAAGCGGTCGCATTAGGATGTCGCACGATCTGCAGTTTGACTGGCGCGCATTAATTGCACCGTTCAATTACATCGCCGCGGCCGTCTCGGTCTGTCAGTTCTTGAGTCACCCTTTGATGACGCTATAGACCACCCCTTGATCCGGTCCTCGCGACAGACGGGGGAGGGGGCGGGGAGGGGTCCGTCGACCGCCAGGAATTCCATGGAGGACGCGTTCAAAGGGCGGCGGCCGCCGGCCGGCAGCGCCACCGGACGCTGGTCCAGGGATCACACGACCCAGCGGCGGTGGCATCCCATTAATCCGAGCATAATCCCTCGCTTGTAGCCGGTCCCCGACCACCAGGGACCCTCTGAGAGACTCTCTAAGCGTTAATGTGCAAAATTGGCAAGGTGGGTTACCGAGCTAAAAGAGTCAATATCGAGAAGAAACGCAAATATATGAAAAGTTGCACTTACGCCTGTCTAATAATTACGGTATAGTTAGCAATAACATTTCTTAGAAATGTAGACTAAACGGAAGGTTGTGAAAGCTGAAATAAAGTATTGCTTATTACCATGTTGGACGACAGTACTGCTATAATCTAAGAAAACGTCTCGGATATTTATGAAATTAAATATTGTATAAACAAGCTAGTGTGTATATTGTCTAGCATCGTCACGTTATGACTGACCTAGCGACGTTATGCTCCGCCTCCACTGCGTCTAACCTCGCCTTCTGATATCCCACCCACTGCGTCTGTCTGACCTCTGTCTCTGCCCGCAGCCGATCCGGAGGCGCCGGGATGCTGTGCCATCCTGCTGACCTCTACTGACCTGCTGACCTCTATCTCTGTCCGTAGCCGATCCGGAGGGGCCGGGATGCTGTGCCATCCTGCTGACCCTGGTGTCGTACCTGCTGACCTCTGTCTCTGTCCGCAGCCGATCCGGAGGAGCCGGGATGCTGCGCCATCCTGCTGACCTGCTGACCTCTGTTTCTGTCCGCAGCCGATCCGGAGGCGCCGGGATGCTGTGCCATCCTGCTGACCCTGGTGTCGTACCTGCTGACCTCTGTCTCTGTCCGCAGCCGATCCGGAGGGGCCGGGATGCTGCGCCATCCTGCTGACCTGCTGACCTCTGTTTCTGTCCGCAGCCGATCCGGAGGCGCCGGGATGCTGTGCCATCCTGCTGACCCTGGTGTCGTACCTGCTGACCTCTGTCTCTGTCCGCAGCCGATCCGGAGGGGCCGGGATGCTGTGCCATCCTGCTGACCCTGGTGTTGTACCTGCTGACCTCTGTCTCTGTCCGCAGCCGATCCGGAGGGGCCGGGATGCTGCTCCATCCTGCTGACCTGCTGACCTCTGTCTCTGTCCGCAGCCGATCCGGAGGGGCCGGGAAGCTGTGCCATCCTACTGACCAGCTGACCTCTGTCTCTGTCCGCAGCCGATCCGGAGGGGCCGGGATGCTGCACCATCCTGCTGACCTCTACTGACCTGCTGACCTCTGTCTCTGTCCGCAGCCGATCCGGAGGGGCCGGGATGCTGTGCCATCCTGCTGACCCTGGTGTCGTATCTGCTCATCCTGTGCACACTGCCGTTCTCGCTCTGCATGTGTATCAAGGTGAGTGAAACTCTGATAGACGTTTTTAACAGGTGATTTTAACATATTAAAAATATAGGATCAAGTGCCTAGGTCTTAGACACAAATGTAAGCAGTATACCATAACACTTTATCATTTCAATTTTCATACCTATGTTGCTAGTTTGTCAGACGTGACTTCAAAAGATTACTTAAAATGAAGCTCGCTCGTTGTTGGAGTTTCGTTAACCCTCGCCGGACCTATTGGTTTTCTACATACGCGCCGGCCGAGGGTGGGCGGGTACGACCCCCCTTCGCCGTTTCGCCCCTGGTGGAGCTAGCGCGTCGCGGAAAAAAGGAGCGTGTGCGCCGTTACGAGGCGCAGAGATTAGTACCCGATTTTAAGGTCCTAGGTCAACCGGTGACCTCTGAGGTCAGGTCAAGTGCCCCAAGGTACGGTTCAGTTTTTGGTGAATAGCTTCGCAAAAACGGCCGCAGAGCGCCGAATTTGGCAGCATCGTGTTCGCCTCGCTCAGGCGCGTCGAATGATATACTTTTTGTCCGGGTCAGGTCAACTTGAGGTGTTGACCTCAGGTCAAGGTCAGGTCAGCACCCCCAGGTCACGAAGTTGGTAGAAAGAGGTCATGTCGCATATCATTCGATTCGGCAGGCCTTCCTGAGTCCATTGGTGGCTTTCCCGACTCGCTAGCTCAATTTGATCAAGAGTTATTGACGAAAAACTAATATGACCTTGATGACGTCATAAATGACGTCACGAAAGGTCAACATCGCAAAAGTGACGCATCTAACCTTGCAAGGAGTGCATCAAATCACGATTCTGTGTGCTTGAGATAGTTGGAGATCGTTCCCGGCGCCAGAATGGCAGTTTTCATTTTTCCCCATTGACTTATAATGGTGAGGTCACGAAAATGACCTGACCTCATATGACCTTTAGGAAAAATCCGAGATATACAAGTTGTGGGACTCATAATGGATACTAGATCCTGCAAGTTTCATTTCCCTGTGACATCTCCTCTGGCAGTGAGGGCGTTGCGAAGTTGCGACATCTGAAGACCGTGCAGAGGTTCACTTATGACGTCATAGGTCAGTCACCTGACCTGACCCAAAAATGCGGTTGGTGTCAAAATATTCGGCTTGGATCAAAGGTCAGGTATGCCAGGTTTCAGCTCTCTATCGCTAGCGTGTTTGGAGCTATCGCGAAAAAACCCTATGGGGGGGGGTGGGCGGCACCCGCCCCCCCCCCCCTCGGCCGGCGAGGGTTAATTGTTGTCGAAGCTGTTTGAGGACGAGGATAGACCTGGGGATAACCCTTTGCTTTGACAGATGTAATGCAATTGTTTCGGATAACTGTTGCGATCAAAGTGCGATCAAAGCTTGAAACATCATGCAATGATAGTTAAAGTGGAGTTTCTATTTCTTCCACCGTTCATACAGCAGTATTGGCACGATTCTCCCTAAGCACCCAGCGTCGTCCGCAGCTCCGCTGGCGCTGTCAGATGAATACTGACACACCTTAAGTAGGACGCATTGTTTATGTGTCCGACCTGTAACCCAGCTACACTTCCCTCTGCCGGATTTCAGGTGGTCCAGGAGTACGAGCGAGCTGTGATCTTCCGTCTAGGCCGCCTGCTGCAGGGCGGGGCCAAGGGACCGGGCATCTTTTTCGTGGTGCCGTGCATAGACACGTACCGCAAGGTGGACCTGCGCACCGTCTCGTTCGACGTGCCGCCACAGGAGGTGAGCTGAACGACGTTACTTACATGCCCCGCGTGTGAGACATCATGGGTTTGAGTCTGTAGGTAATTTTAATCTGTGACAGTGTCGGATCGACGTCGACCATGAGACGAACGGGAACGGTGCTATTTGTTGTGACTTGTACCAGGAGACTTTCCTTAGTATTCAACTGCAAATAATTCATTTTAAGCCATGATTAAATCGGAAAAGGAAGGGAAGGTGAACTGGGAAGGGAAATGCCAAACGTCTTCCATCGAGCGCATGTTTGTGGATGTCTGAGCGTCATGCCCGCGCGCAGGCGAATCCTCAGCGCCGGGGCGTACTGGGAGGTAGACTGTGCCGCAACACAGAACTGCATTGCGGAACACACGGCTCGACTTGCCGGGCTACTCGCGGCGCTCGGGAATACAATTTCGAAGTTCGCTAGCGCAAGTAAAAATCAATGGATGAATTTTCTCCCGCCTCGGTAGCTGACAAAATTGGATTAATTATGTCAAACTGGCACTAGCGAGACTTCATCCCGGCTCACCCACTTACCAATCAGACTTTCCTCAATGCACCGAGTGACCTTCAGCTCGGTATCTTTGTTTTTTTATGATATTTTCACAATAATGTGCCCAGCTGAAGGGGTTTCAGCCATTTTATGGCTTTCTTGAAAAACTGTTGTGTTGCCAGAGCTTATTAAACAATACTAAATTTCTGCTCGAAGCATTTATCATTCCATTTATTGAGGGCCAATTCAGCCTTTCTTGTACGCCAATAAACTGGAAGCATACAGGAATTTACTTTAGCATGAGTTGGATAAAACATCCTGTCGCCCCTGAAAGCCCTGCCCCTGGCACACGCGTGTCGAGCGGTGCCAGCTGCTCGGATAACCGTCCGACCATTAGCAGATTGGGCCGGCTCCGATTCCGGGAGCCCCGGGTCACACAATGGCCGAGGTCAGCCATTGTATAGGTGGAACGGGGTCACGGCTCAGGGAGTGACCTTAGGTTGACATTCCTGTGAACGGGATTTATTTCCCCTCTCTATGAGTGCTTAGTTATGTATTGTAGACAGAGCATAGGGATGTTAAACGGCAGGCTGGTCGAAATTACTCGATAACTCGTTGTACGTTTGCTCAACGTGAGTACCTACGAGAACCATAAAACATCGTGTAGAATGTTCAACTGCTGATAACAAACGGCGAACTAAATACATATATATATCTTTAGAATGTAGACCACTGCAGAACTGCGCCACACCACGTCTGACGTGCGGCGCGTTACGCCGAGTGCCGGGCCGACGGATTCCATCAGGCTGATAGACTGCGCCCTGTTGCGGCGGAATGCGCTCCACGGCTAATGTAGTGGCACTGAGGGCGAATTAGATGTAGTGGACGGTAGGAGGTCCAATTTAGTCACCACTTGCTACCGGGTTCAGTCCCCACGGCGAAACAGTCTATGGCCGCCTGGCTGACCAGTGTGGCCAGTTCACCAAGCTGCCACTGGTCATAACCCGTACTCATTCCCAGTACAACCGCCACTGACCGCCCAGTGCACAGCCGCCACTAGCTATACCCATTACCCACTTTAATTCCCACCGACCGCGCTTTGGCGAAGCAGCTAATGGCCATTGGAACGCCGCACTAAGTGACCATGTGACCAACCACTCTGCTCGCCACTGACCACCCATGGTTCAGCTGCCGCTACAGGCTGCCTGTCTAGTGTCCAGCAGTCACTGATCGTCCCACTTCAGTACCCACTGACTGACTAGACCACCTCATCCGCCGCTAACCCTCCATTCCAGCCACCTCCAGTTGGGAAGCCAGTGGTGGTTAACAATAGCTGAATTCCGGGGACAAACGACCACGCCTCAGTCAGCGCCACGCGGCGGTCTGATAGCGACCCCTCCCTCAGCCCGCAGAGCCCCGGCGCCAGTTACGGATGACGGCCATCCTAACTTGTCCTGCGCTGATGGGCTCATTCGTATCAAATGACAGACGTCAGATGAACCGTAAACCAACGCCACAGCTCTGTTAGGGAATGAAACTTAGATGCAAAAACTATCCATCGCTATATGTAGATTATCCTTCGTATATGCGCATAGGTATTTTTCGTATATACTTTAGGTTTGTTTTTCAATAGAAAAGCACAATTCTAGCGCAAAATGTTTTTAACTATCAAAGACCAACCTTCGGTTATATTTTCTTTTCTAAAATGTTTGAGGCTAAAATTGCAATTCCTTGAATTCACTATTTCTGATAAGATGCTTATTTTGTGATGCTTAGGTACCCAGCTTTGGATTTTGCCTACAAGCTGCGTTGTTTCGGGTACAGTAATATTTATGAGGCAAAGAAGAAATCAGCTGACATGCGATGTAATGAGATGACAGTTTTTTATTTCGAACCCAGAACGAACCGGCCGGCCCGGCCTAAACCTGCCTGCTCCTAAACCGCTCCAGCCCGGAATCGGACTGGCTGCATGCGGGCAGGTATCTCGGACAGTTACCATCAATATTTGGCCGGCGGCGGCGCGGCCGGGCCGCTCAGGTCGGCGGGCTGACACGGCGCGGTGCTCCGTCCGACGATACGGCAGCAGACCTCCATCCGTCAGACGCCTGCGCTGGCCGGCCGGCTCCTGACCCCGGGGAGCCGTGCTCGGCCCGGCTGCAGCGCCATTCCGGACTGGCCGGCCGTGCCATTCCGGATTGCCTCCGGTGCCATTCCAGGCCGGCTGCAGTGCCATTCCGGGATGGCCTCAGTGCCATTCCAGGATTGGTCTATCGTGCCATTACGGGTCGGTTAGCTTTGTCATTCTAGGCGGGACGCAGTGCTATTCCGGGCTGACCCGCAATGCGCCATTCCGGGTCGGCTGGTCATATCATTCCATCCCAGCCACTGTGCCATTCCGGAATGGCTGGATACGCTGTGTACGGCTGGACTTTGTCCGGGCCTGCCAGCCTTGTTATTCCGTGTCCTGATTACCGGCCTATGTAGTGTGCTGTGCCCATGAGCCAGCCGGCTGTTTTATATCGGCGCCGACTGCCAGACTGCTGGGCTGTCACCCCTCCGCGGCCGGCCTGCCGCACAGTCTACACTCTCACCGTGTATCACCAATGCAGACGGCCTGGGAGCTCGGGACCCATGGCACGGTAGATAAGAATCAAGAATAGGCTGGAACGTAAAAGCCAGTGCTCGTATTCGGCCGTCTACGTCACATGCAGCTTATTTGGCTTGTGAATGGCGTGTCGTGAGTTTTGAGATAAGTTAAATTGTTCAGTAGCTTGTCACTTGTAATTACGATGATTATCATTCACCGAATTTGGATGATATTGTAATTAAAGTCGAGAGAAGCTGTCTTAATGGACCCAGGCACGGCGGGAGGAGATTCGAGTTTTGGCCTAAGTCGCAGACCCATGGACTTTACCTAACTTGTAAGTCGGACAATTTAAACATTGCGTGTTCCTAGAGAAGTAGACCTGCCAGGCGCCATGCCGTCCCTACGATCGATGAATAGTGCAGCCCAGACCCTCATGGTCAATGATGGGCTCTATATGGCACTTCGACGCAGGCTGGTCCAATTCACAAATGACCAGATGATGACAATTGAGCGGGTGTTACTTTGCTACCGGGTTGAGCTGTTGCTGTGCTATGTAGCAGGTGCTCGGGATTTCTAGCCGGCAAGATACGTATAGGAGAATGTCCCCGTTGAAGTAAAAGAATCCCTCTAAGGGGACTACTCGAGTCAGAAATATGTCTAGAAGATACATACCATTACGTACAAACAAGAAGATACCATTGTAAACCCGTGAGATACAGTGCTGCCATTTGCGACGATATCGTTTGGTGTTTATATCTGTTCTTACGTTCTTTGGAAAGTTTCCGATCTGGTTATATCTGTATTTGTCTGCCCTTTAGGTACCGACTTGAAGGCAGGACAGCCTCGACCCAAACACGAGATCGGAAAATTTCCAAGGTGATCATTGACTTCTAGCCATCGCCATTATCATCCTTACTACACGACCCCTGACGTTCGCAGTCTCACGCCGGCGAGTCCTCCCCTTGCAGGTGCTGACGCGCGACTCTGTGACGGTCAGCGTTGACGCTGTAGTGTATTACAAGGTCAGCGATCCGGTGATGGCTGAGAATAACATCGAGGACTACAGGTGCTGGCCCGGAGTGTGTGCGTGCCTGTGCGAGTGTGCGCGTATGCCTGACTCGTGCCCGGCTTCTTAGCGTGGCTACGCCCGCCCGCCCGGCCCGGCCCGGCGCCTGCCTACGGTGTACCCTCGGTAGCTGAACGGGCCCGGCCGGCCGGCCTCCCACTGACTGGGCTGCGGACGGCGCAGGAACCTGCTGCTCAGCAACCGCCGAAGCCCGCCGATAACACATACCTAACCGGCCAGCGCAGACAGCGCTCATTAATGGCTATCGGTCTCCGCTAATCTCGTTTTAATATAGAAATGCGATTTTTATTCACTAATGAATAATGATTAATCATTAAATGTTCATTGTCCACTCACCAGCCAGCTACAACAGTCGGTCTTAGCATAAACAAATGTTAAATCTCATTCTGATAAAAGACAGGTATCCCACTTCTACCAAAATCCGATCATCACAAAGCATTCACATTTTGTCTAATAGTCTGAACATCGCTATTCAATAAAGCACCTGCCTATTTGGCTGTGCGAGGAAAACGATAGATTCGTTACCTACCTGCTTTAATTGTTTTCCATCTTATCGTGTCGGGAAGTGATTCTGCTAACGATATCTGTTATTTGATTTGACCGTGTAGGCTATGGAGGACTGTGACGGACCTGATCTAACCGTGATGGATAATACTGTGTCAGGCGGTACCTGCTGCCCTGTCTGACCGTGACGGAGGGACTATGACGGACCTGCTGCCTTACCTTACCGTGTTGGAAACTACTTTTGACGCGGTTTTTCCATGACGCCGAGCGGCTGCCTTTCAGATTCTATCGATGGACCTAGTGACGGTTTCGGTGGACGCTGTAGTGTATTACCGCGTGGAGGATCCCGTGAAAGCTGAGACAGAGATAGAGGAGATCAGGTCAGCGGCAGTGCGGCTGTGTTGCCTGCTGTGGCGTATGTGTCCGGCAGGTCACCGCCGAGCGCCGTCCAATGTTTGACGGCTGCTGTTATCTATTTAACGATCCCAGCGGCCTCTAACTTCTCGGAGTTTCTTACTACTACCACAAGCAGTTGTAGTGTTTTCTTCCCTTCCCTAGTTGTCAGCGGTCTACAGACACCTCTGTCTTTGGTCTAAGATCGTCGTCGCACACATGGAATGCTCCTGTTTTGCGCTTGTCCTTGCGGAGGGCCCTTCATCTTCCCCATGTCCTTGCGGAGAGAAACTAAACTAAACATGATGTAATACATCAGTCATCAATATACTTTAAGTCCGAATTCCAAAGAAGACCTTGTACCGAATATATTTTACCGAACCTATAATATCGTTTTTAAGATCTGAGTTGTAATTTTGAGGCGACATTAAAATCAGGTGATTTCAAAACATCATTAATCGATCATGCCTCATACATTTTCAGAGCATCTTTATGTGCTGTTAGCTGTCGTGCTAGTCATCGTCTCTAGCGAAAGGATATACGGCACATTCGCTTATCAAGCGCGGTATATCCCACACGCAAGGTTCGGTCAACATTCCAAATGGGTTACGTATGCAATACGACGTCACCCAATACAGCACACATTACGGTTATGGCCGTTGGGTGCCATTTGAAATGAAAAACCGCCCCGTTTTCCTCCAGCAGGGGTCGTATTCTCGGTAATGTTTGCGATCCTTTCCCGGCCCTCATTCCGCTCCGAAGTCCCTGGCGCCTCTACCTCGCTCTGCAGAGTGCCGTGTGCCGCTATCTGGCTCCCGGTAGAGGCATGCGTCATCACCAATCTCCCCAGAGGGTGGCGTGTGTCGCCACCTTATTCGGGAAAGCGGCGACCGCCGCCAGATTGTGTCCCCGTGCTTGCGCGGGCACTTGGCGATGCTCATGGCGTCAGCCATTCTTTCAGTGCTCACTGCTCAGTCACCAGAGACGTCACCGAACCCGTCCGTCGCCGGACACTGGGTCGTATTTCACGTCCTTTACCGCCGCTCCCACCGGCCGAGGCGCGGAGCTACCACCTCCAGCCGGCGCCGGCCGACAGGATGGGCTGGGGCTGGCGGCCGGGCGGCGCCGACGTGGAAAGGTCACAGGCCGCAGTCCCGCCCGGGTTCGATTTTCTCGGCTGGAGGACGCCGCTCCGCACGACACCAGCCATCTGCCATCGAGGGCAGTGCTCGCACCGCCGGCCGTTTTTGCCGGATCTGTCGGCGGTAGTCCGACCGCAGCGTGACCGTCGGGTCATCACTCGTGGCCAGCTGCCCACCGGAGGGCCGACTCCAGTTCCGGACTGGAGATCAGAGCAGCGCGACCCTCCGTCCGTAAATGACTGAAATTCAGTATCAGTCAGCGGCTGGCCGGTCGGGATTCAGAGGGGATCGAACCCTTTGTCGGTAGGGATCCGAAGTTCTCAGTCCGTGGACCATCCGGGATCCAGTGGAGCTTCGTCGGCAAGGAACTCATGGGTTTTGTCGGCTGGGATCGAGCTAACTACTTTCCTCGACGGCCCAAAGTGTGTTTTTGACTCTGCTCCCATCGCCGGCCAGTATGGTGACTGCCCGTAGGGCAGTCATCATTCCCAAACCGTCACTACTCCTTCCATCCCTCCACCTCGCGTCGACATCGGCCCATGTGTTGTCTGACGACTGGGTAGTACCCAGAAACGGACGACCTTTATAGAGATGTCAGCGACGCGTACAAGTACTCCCTCCTGCTACCTCTCGGGACCCAGTCGACCTACAATGTCGTGTTTTATCACCAGACGAGACTTCCTGTTCAGCCTTTTGGGAGGAGTGGGCGCTTCCCATTGAAAACATCATAAGGACACTTAATGATATCACTCGGGGGTCATTATCGTCTCTGAGCCGTTACTTCAAAGGACGAGAAGACGACGCGTTTCAAGGGACGTTTTCAATGGAAAAGCAGTTACATATGTTGTGAGACGCCAACGAATGACCATTAAGCTGTTCTCTTACTTTAACTGAAACCGTGCTGACCTATGTTGCGCAATTTTTTCATGCTATCCCATAAAATAAAATGTCTAGTCATAATAATATTTACATAACCGTGTGACACTTGCATTTGGAAAGCCACACCAAAGCAAAGCTAAAAGTATGACGTCTTTTTCTACATATTCATGTAAAATTGATTACGTCAAAATTTATTTTAACAGATTTCAGTCACATGTTTCATGGATTCAGCGCTCATTTTAGTGAGCTCAAGGGTCACATTTGTTCTGTGGCGACCTGCACAGTGGCTGGTCCAGCGTTGAGCTCCCGGGACGGTCGCCGCCGCAGGCGCCGCCGCGTTACTGCCAGCATGTCCCGCGCCGTGTCCCCAGTGTGACTAAGCCAACTAACACCGCTGGCCGGCCGGGTGGCCGCCGGGCCGCTCCGTCTAGTGCCCCCCTCCCCCCCCCCCCCGGCTGTTATTCGGCAGCATGAGAGACTCTGCATGACTCTGTCCGTGTCTGCCTCTAGATCCTGAGCAAGGACTCGGTAACGGTAGCCGTGGACGCGGTAATATTTTACCGAGTCAGCAATCCGACGATCGCCGTGACAAATATTGTCAACTGCAGGTAACTAGAGGCCGGCGCTCGCCGTATACCGTAGAGAGCTCCCTGTCCTCAGTGCGGCCCGCTGTCTGGTGTCACTGCGCGGCGCCGCGCACTGACGCCAGACGCCCGGCCACTAATTGGCGTTGATCAGAGATCAGAGATCAGAGTGGCCCGTCTATGACGGCCCTCTGATTACTGAGACCCGACGTCTGCCGCTGCCAGTGCATCAGACGGCTTCTGCTATTGGCTTCACCACTGGCCTGATGAGATTTACCCAGTCGGATCGGCCTTGGATGGCTATCAGAGCATGCTTTGTGTCCGTAGTTATAATTACTTGTTCGTTATTAATATCTTTTCAATGTATTTTATCGTGTCGTCTGTCGACTATGTGAGCTATTGATAATAGTTTGACTTAATTTCTGAATTGAGCATTAAAGTCCATCAGAAGTTTCGCTGTGGGTAACGCTGTAATTAAATTACTGCTTCAATTATAACGTACAAAATGATTTAACTCAATATCTGCCTGTTTGTTGAATCGGTCCCATTCCTGCAATATTGAACACCGTCATACTGATAGACGGCAGCAATCATTTGCTGGCCGTGTACTGGCGCGGTGCCGCACTTAAGATTAATGACCCATCAGCGGGTATTGGGCTGTGTCGGTAGCGCGCTATCGGCTGATCGTATCGATGCCTCCGACCGCCATCGCTCTCTGGTCGGACGGCGCGGCGCCCACCCGATCGGCCGTCGATCTGTTCTGATCACCGGGCAGCCGGTGCCGTCTGACCCCGTCTGACCTCTGCTCCGACCGCCGACAGCCACTCCACTCGACTGCTGGCCGCCACCACACTGCGTAACGTGCTGGGCACCAAGTCGCTGGCCGACCTGCTGGCCGAGCGAGAGACGATCGCCCAGCAGATGCAGTCCAGCCTAGACGAGGCCACCGACCCGTGGGGCGTCAAGGTGGAGCGCGTCGAGATCAAGGACGTGCGCCTGCCGCTGCAGCTGCAGCGCGCCATGGCCGCCGAGGCCGAGGCGGCCCGCGAGGCGCGCGCCAAAGTGATCGCCGCCGAGGGCGAGCACAAGGCCTCGCGCGCCCTCAAACAGGCGGCCGACGTGATGAACGAGAGCCCCAGCGCCCTACAGGTGAGACCCAGAACACTGCAACTGAAACCCAAAGTCCCAGACCGCGGAAGATGACAACCATAGCCGTGGATGCGCGTGCAGTTGATCCTTAGAGACCCTGAACCTTACAGGTCAGAAGCAGAGCAAAGATCCTGGGGATTATAGCTTGAAAACTGTCAGGACCCTGCAAGAAAGACGCTCTGGAGATAAAACTAGGGCCACAGTGCACTGCACAGATGAAACCCAGTATAGCAACGCCTTTCAGGCGACCCAGCGAATGCATCTGACACTCAGACAGTGCAGCTGAGGCTCAGAGACTATATCTGAGCAGCCTATCCGTCATTTTGGACCCGCCCGAGAGACAGAGATTGGATGCATGAATACTGCATATGACACACCTGCGGCCCCGCCCGGCCCCGAGAATGGGACACTACGGGAGAGCCTATTATAGGGCTTAGGCGGCGATGCACTTTAGGAAACCCTCTGCGGTATTCCCATCCCCTCCGCACAAATATTGTATATAATTGCTTCTGTCAGTTCAGATTCAGCTTATACGATCTAAAAGTGTCATGATCTGGAAGATAGAAATGAAATGAATCTTTTCGGGGGCAACATGATCATCTGTCATGCTCCATCATAAAGGTCCAAAGCGCTAGCGAATGAGATGTCAGCAGCGACTGTTCCATGGATCAGGGCATTTATACTGCGATGTACGGCCTCTGGGCGAACGTGCCGTCTTCGCATCAGGAGTTACATATCACAGATCGAGCCCAGACAAATCACTACCCGCGGGCGGTTGCCACATCAAACTGGGAGAGTCCAAACATAGCCTCCGGCGTTTAGGCATGGCGGAGTATTGACATTCAGTGATGTAACGCGATCTTCTGTTTGCAAAGTAAGGTTCAGATATTACCCATTTTAGGCGGGTAACTTCTTATAAGTTGTTCCAATCTGAAAAAGGACGATTATCCCAAAAGGATGTCATTTGGTGCTAAGGTAGCGGTGCGTCTTTGTAAGTCCATCGCAATGCCACTGTGAAAGTTGATTAGTGAACAGCTTAAAATATTTAAAAAATGATTACAAGTTAGTTCAACCCTACTTCAAATTAGAAAGGCAAACCACAAATCTTATTACCAGAAATCCAGCCCATTCATCAATGCTGCCATCCTAATGAGCTTTCGGCTGTTCCCTAACGAACTCACACAGTCAAATAAATCTCTCGGGGCTGCACGATGTATAGCGCAGGTCGAACATGCTGAAATCTTCATCTGCTGGCATGCATCAGTAATGAATGCCTTCGGTGGCAGAGCGTCAGCCGTCACGGCTACGATGGCCATGCGACGTGCCGCCGTCTAACGGTTTGGACTCGGCGCTCTCCGTGCAGCAGCGAGCCTCCTTCAAACTCAGGTTGAACGGGACCGACCTGCGATCCGAGCCCGCGATCGGCCGCCGCCATGCAGTCAGTAAACACTGGCCACCGGCGGCCAGCCGTCTTTGTTCGTCGTCGAGTAAACGCCGTCGGCCTCGCACACGCCGCTCGTACTCTCTATCGACCGGGCGACCGCGCCTGGCCGGCAGCCAGCGCGGCGCGCGGTCAAAACTCGCACTGCCAGCCAGCGCCGCCCGCCGCGCGGCGTCTGTGTATGATCAACAACCAGCGGGACATTGTCAGACGCTGCGAGCAGTCCTGGGTACTTACATCGACGTGCCCACTGCCCAGACATATTTACGAACGGCGGGCACGGCTGACCGACATACCGACGCTGCACGTCCCCAGCAGTCGTCAAGTTCCAGCTAATGAGCGGCCCGTCGAGGCATAACGATGCCGACGATCGCCGCCCTAAACTGTTTATCGATCGGCCTTGGCGGAAATTGAGCCAGCGATCATGTCATTGTGTATGTCATGGCCAGGATGTGTCATTTTCTTCCAAGAATGTAGCACGCTAAGAATACTGCGTCGACGATGTAACGAGCGAATTCCACGAGCAGCAGCCACTAGTGTCGCAACATAGGGATATTTATGTTGTTTTTCTTAACAATCTGTTTTTTTTAGACGTGCATCCTCGTGGAAAGAAAGCGGCCGCGTCAAAAGGAAATGAGACCCAGTATCGGAGCTATCGGTTGATGGATAAAAATCAAATTTACAATTTTTATCAAATGGCTATTTATTTCCAATTTTGTAACCAATTACAAAATAGTAAAACTACGTACCACTACGCCTCTCCGCTGTCTATAACAGAGGGATGCAACCATCCATAAGGTTTTTTCGCAGCTTTATCGTGAAAGTGTGAGCAAATAGGACCAACTTTTGGCATAACTCGCACTCATACATCGGCCACCTAATCTGAAAATTTCGGGTTCCTCTTAGTTCATGACTTCGAGCTATCTATGACATCAATTTATTCACACATGTGCTGCTCCGTCAGCTCACAGCCGGCGCACGGCGCTAGCCGGCGTAGTCTGCCTGTGAGATATACTGTGCCGCAACGCTCCCGTGTGCTGCGGCACAGCATGGCCGCCGCGGAATCGGAGGCTGGGAGGCTCTAGCAGAGCGGCATCCACAGAGTATCGAGCTATACAATTCCATGCGTCGAAATGACCGCAATATTCAGCGCCGTTCCCCAGACAGCATGGTCCAGGTTATGGAAATAACTAAGGTATCAGCACGCTCAGCCTCGGACCTACCACACCAGCTAGCGTCAGCTCGAATGGCGACATGGAGTCTGCATCAGCAGTTTAAAACGAGCACGAGCCTCGGACAACCCATCTCCGCCCTGCTACGTGCCCAATCGCCTACCCTTGGTCCGTGACCCCGCCTGGGCTCTGCAGGTCAGAGCAGCAGTCACAGGTTACAACGAGAGGGAATCCATTGTCTGAGGCCGACGAGTGCTGATCAGGCACCTTTGCGGCGCGGCACAAATTTCAGTGGACGCCTGCCGAGTGTCTACTACCGCCGGCTATTGATTGCGCCGGTACGGCGGCGGCGAGCGGCGGCAGTTGCGCGCGCGGCTGACTCCTACCTCCCTCCCATGTGCGGCGCAGCTACGCACAATTGAGTCCGCTGCCCGATGTGTTCCCAGCTGCGCACGACTGATCCCATTTCTCCGTGAGTTCTCGCGGCTGACTCCTCCTTCCCGTGTTCTCATCTGCGTACGACCGACTTCCCTCCTGTGTGTTCCTGCGCACAATCGACTCTCCCTCCCGGGTGTTCCCAGCTGCACACGACTGACTCCTCCGCCCCCCGTGTGTTCCCAGCTGCGCTACCTACAAACACTCAGCACCATCTCGGCCGAGAAGAACTCGACCATCATTTTCCCGCTGCCCATCGATGTACTCAGCCACTTCCTGGACAAGTAGCCGACGGACGAAGGGGGAAGAACCGACGGAGGAGCGGCGACGGCCGGCCGAGCCGAGCCGAGCTGAGCTGAGCTCTGACAGACAGCAGCTGCCAGCTGCGGGCCGGCGCAGCCCACACACCTCAGCACGCCCCAGAGAGGAGCCGGGAGCGGCGAACCACAGCGGTGCGGTCGCCGAACCCACCGCAGGGACACACGTGCAGCGTGTGAGGTGAACTCGGGGCACGGCGGCCAACCGTGCACACAGCTGTCCCGCTTGTTGCTATGATCATGATTTTATTTTCGACATCGCGCTTGTTTTAGATAAGTGTGTTTTAGCATTAGACGAACGCTAAGACCGTTGTGTATTTGAGCAAAATGTTATTCCTTTGAAGAGGACGGAAAAGACACCTTCTTTTCAGCCGGAAAAAGATCATAAAATGGATGTCAATTGGCAAATACCTCACCAGCTTCGCGCGCGATTTCTGTACGGACAAGACGGGTTACCTACAAACACACATGTCGAAACTAACGGTTTCTTTGATTTTAATGAAAATGAGCACCTTCATATATATGCATCACTAATCACATTCATGTCCAGTGGGCAAAAGAGACATCACATCTTATTTTCACACGCCCATTTGAGGCCCGTTGTCGCTGTGCTTCTATGGTGCTTGGGTCACGGGGGTCCAGTATAAAGTATAACAGCGGTGGGAGAACAGAGGACCGTCCCCCCTCACACACCGGGTGGGACACACCAGGTCACTTGAAGAGCGCACAGGGGTCACTGGATTCGTTCACAAGCTGTCTCCGGCGTCGGAGGATAACACAGTGTGTTGTGTGCACAGTGGCACACCCTGGGTCGCAGATCTTTTATCGACTGGGTTATGTTAGAGCATCTACCTCCAAACTTAAGTTGCCTTTGTTCCTAGCATGAGTGACAAGTGTACATACATTCTAAGTAGCCAGTCCATAAGGAACGTGTCACTGATTTACCCGTTTCCGCGTAATGCGAAAACGTTATGCCATCCAAATCCGGTATGATTCGCTTGTCAGCTTATGCAGCACGCAATTACCTACCTGTTATTGTGTAGACCTTTTATGCTTTATTTATGTTTTATCATCTTTTTGTGGTTGGTGCGAGATTGTACGCCCCAATTAGTTCCATTTTCGAGCGATGTCACAGGGAGCAGTCACACTCATCGCGGCTTTGTGTGAACTCAGCTTCTGCCCTGAGTTTGGTGTAACACGGGGGCGCCAGTGTTTGTGCACGAGGTCGGATCAGAGTCCGAACGGGACTGCGTCGGCGCGCGGTCCTGCCGGCCGCTCCTGCTATCGCCGTGTGTCGGGAGGCGGCGGTCGTAGCCGCAGCCGACCTGCTCATCACTTTACGATATTATCTCGTTGTTTTGGAGCTGTGCGCGTGCCGCGCTCCGGTCGGCGCGACCATCTCCCGCGCCATCATACTATCATTGTCTGTCGCCATCCTCTCTGTGCCACGCGGCGGAGGCGGCCCTTGCATGCGCACATGTGTGTGTCGCGGTCCGCCCGCGCCGGCTGACCGGCAATCAGGAGCGGTGCGCCGCCGCCCACGGGTCTGTTCTCTGTGCTGCGCGCGCGCTCGTGTGTGCGCGACTCTGTCCGCAAATGCGGGCCACTGTCGGCGCGGCAAAGGGACCGAGCCGCCGCGACCTAGCTGCTAGCCGTCGGTGTCAGTGTGCTCAGGTTCGTGGATTTGTACCTTCGTACACGTGCCTGGCTTCGTTCAAGAGCAAGTTTCCGCCACCTCTGCTCCATTTTGTGTACCTATGGCATGCAGGAATACTACAATAAATTGATGCACAAAATATTTGTTTACCATTACCAAAGCCCATAAACAAAGATTCAAAGGCCAGTGAGCAAGGCATTTAAACAGACAATGATTGATATTTGCATATTCTCCTCATGAAAGTGGCTCCTCCATCACATGTAAGTAAAATGGCGATACACACTGGTATGAGATTATGATCTGACCAACAACTTGACCTTCACCACACAAACCAGGACATTACAAACGGAACTTTCTCTGAACCACCCTTTGACGCTACACTGGACAACAGTTATCGATCGCTGGTAAAGTAAATGCTTCAAATTTCTATAAACGATCACTCATATACCTATACAAAATATAGCATTTGCATCGTACAGAGATGTCAGGAAGTACAAGTGCGTGCTTGGTATCACATGACGGGCTGGGAAACGTTGTCTTCTGGAGACTATTAATTCGGGACTTCATACCAAGGCCAGTGGCACTACCAGGAGAGTGCGATACACCGAAGGGTACAACGGACCAGCCCAGTACCCCAGAGGGTTCACCAGACCAGCCCGGTACACCAAAACGTACGCCAGGCCAGCCCGGCGCCTACCATAGTCCAAAGGACTGTCTAAGTGTCGTAAATAACGGTAGCCAGCAGACCTAGCATACCGCATCTGAGAGCCAGCAACAGGAGAGCCTCGTCTAGTACGGTCAGACATCGATCGACCCAGACGGGCGCCTAGGAGCTGTCTCAGTTAAAGAGCAATGACAGATGTCTCAGAAAGATGATTTTTGAGGCGCGGGGCAATCCCAGCATCTGCCCGGCCCACACGATAACCATAGACCCCTTCAACCATCGCCTCTTCACACCCCTCTTCTCTCCCACAGCGTTCCGCACACCCTGGAGGTCCGGCGGCGAGCGGCCTGCGAGGGAAATGCACAACTCCGACCGAGAGCGGCCGGGCACTCCGGCGGCGCCCACACACAGCACAAACACGACACTGGAGCGATCGACCGGTGGCGGCGGGCGCGCGCCGGGGTTACCCATCCCACGCACCGTCCCGTCACCCTTCAGAAGCTCCGTCCCACCGTCGACCACCCGCCTCCGTCCCCCAGAACACCCACCGTAGTGGTCACAGCTGCGGCGAGCCGGTCAGCTCACTCGTACTCGGCGATAAGCACCATCATGTAAATGCCGACCAGCAGAGCGATCAGCTCTTTGAACGTCTGCCACACGGAGGTCTTCTCGAGCAGCTCGGGAATTACGGAGACGGTGGCGATGTAGATAAAGCCGCCGGCGGTGAACGGTAGAATTCGTGATGTGGCCGCAGAGTCTGGGGAAACACAGGCGGAGAAGTGGTGAGACACGGCACAACGGCCTGTGTCTCGGCTCAATGCTGCACGTCAGTCAACCCATTACCTGATTAGACTCTGCGCCACAAAAGTAATAACAACGCCAGCAGAGGAGATGTCGTAGGAATGCTATACCTATCACATGCGCACCAGGCTGAGGGAGAGATCGCATGCTTCGTTGCGTGCTCTCCTGCTATCAGCCAGACGAGTAAACCACCGTCGGCGGGTATAAGTAGGTGAACATCAAACAAATGATGTTCTGCATGGCTGTAGTGTGTTTAGAAACACAAACTGAGGCGCAAACGGCGCTGGAGTAGGGGCCGCAGCGTTAGTGGTGCCGTACCAAGCCCTGCACCGGTAGGTACCGGCGTCTGTCGATGTTCCCAAGCACACCGCCGCCGGCCGCGCCGCTTCTGTCGCCGATAAACACCAATTACCGGGCCGGCTGCGTGCCTCCGCCCGACTACACAAACACTTCACAAGTGTTTATCCACAGCGGTACGTCCACCCAGCGAGCGGAACAGGCGGCGTCATCGTACACAAACACCTCACAAACAACGGACAAACACACATACAGTCGCACATGCAGCCACGCAGACAGACACACACAGCCAAACATACAGACACCCATACAGCCGCACAGGCAACCGACAAGGAAGGGCGCGTGGGATCTCGCGCGGGGCACCATCGCATGATGCCACGCCATCCATGCGTGTCTGTGTGCGATAAGCGACAGCGAGACACGCTGGCTTCAGCTGAATGGAAAGCTCCGACGCAACAGCGTCTACTATGAAAGAAACGCGCTCGGTCTGGCCACGACGCTGTTCGTGGGTCGTCTATTTGGCATTCTGAATAAGCGAACGGCGCGGGAAACGATAACCCATTCAAACTACGCGAACAGCGCGGGAAACGATGACCCATTCAAAATAAGCGGACAGCGAGGGAAGCGATGGCCCATTCAGTAAGAATAAACGACACCCTCCAGATGCCCAAGGACATGTCAATACAGGACCGTTAAAGATAACATCGGCCTAACAATTGTTATGTAAGGAATAATGCGGGGGAAGGTGGGTTCTATAAATAGATTACACTAGCATGTATGTACAGCCCTCGGCAAACTGCGTGGTAGGCATTCTTTTTTGGACAAAACCGAGAATAGCGCGAATACTTCGCTATCGGTCACTCGGGAATCGTACGAGCAAGACGCGCGAGACTCCGCACCTTAGATTGGCATTATCATCGCATTCATTTTCCATCCAGTTTGGCAGCAAAACCCAAAAGTTTATATTTGCCCCCAAAACAAACTTTTGCCTTTTGTTGCCACACAAGGCGTATGCCTTTTGTTGCCACACAAGGCGTATACTTTGTTTAGTGATAGACCCAATCGAAGGGGTGGAGCATGACGCTTCTATTTGCGGTGAGTTCCGACCGAATAATAACATAGCCTTTTAGTTATGATCGGTTTTGTCGAAAAAAGAATACCTACCACGCAGTCTGCTGAGGGCTGTACGCTGTTCCAGTTAAAACATCTCACCTAAAATAGTTACTGTATTAATTCTCAGTAGCAGCTTATGCCACCGATCAATGGTACAATCACGTTGTAGAAGACAGTTCTTATCATCAGATATTGGCGAACTTGATGATGATGATGAATTGGGGTTTTTGGGCGCCCGGACTACAGTGGTCATCGGCGTCCATATTGGCGAACTTAGTGGAGCAATAAGACCAGTTCGAGAGCGACTCAAGGGAATATCAATAGCAATTGAAAACTTGTGGCTGCCAATAACGCGAAAACCTCTTTCACTGTCTTGACTTCTGCTACGGATGAAAGGCAACATCCCGACTCTGACCGACATCTGAAGCCACTCGCCGATACATGGAAACGTTCGGCATAGTTTATCGGAAACAATTCCACAAACCACAATCATGCTATAAGACGGTGCTTACTTGGCGCACTAGATTTTTACATCATGAGTTGTCATTTATGACGTCACGTACGACCTTTGGAATCAGCGGCGATTATTGATAACTATTGATATCAATGAGCGAGCAAATTGGAAGTTATCATTTACTCAGAATAGGTTACCGAATCGAATGACGCACAGCATTACCTGCCAGTTTCGATGGCTTAGCTTGGCCTCACTGCATCTCACTAAGCCAATATTAACGATTGCTCCTATCAAACAAATACAAAAGGGCGAATAATGTCAGCGGCATCGACGTGCCACTAAACCTTAGCAATCAGTCAACCATCATGGATGAAGCGAAAGGAACGGTCGAATCTCCCAAGGTTGCAGTGAAAAAAAGACTGGTTAACATAATTATTGAATTTAAATTACTATTGCTCTTTATACCCTACAGTCTGAGTGACAGCACGAAAGGCTGGCTGAATTTCCGACAGCTATAGGAACAATCACTAGCGATTGCCATCAGACATAACAAATCGAACAGACTTATCTTTGTACCACGAAATCGCTGACATCCCCATCTCCAATATCCCAGGCTTGTACTTTATCAATCAGTGTGAATATAAGTTGACAGAAGTGGCTAAAGCATAGCAATTAGCAAGTAACCATAGACATTAGACAGCCATGTAAGGAGAATACAAATATTTTGTTGGTACGATTTTATGACCTTAACCTTCCAAACGGTGGGGGGGGATTTTTTTTGCCCCCCCCCCTTTAGTTTTTTTCGATATATCTCCAGAACCGCTGCGCCGATCGTCACCAAACTTTCAGTACCTTCCCGTGAATAGCTATTGCACATTGTGACCAAAAATTTTTCCAAAGGCTATGATAGGTTGGCCGCTAATGACGTCAGAGTGACGTCATTTCTGCCATTTTCGACACCAAAAAAGGTTTCGCGGGAAGAGCTGTCAGGCCTACAGATTTAGAGATACAGAAAAATGTTTCAGGCATAAAAGGTGTAGGATTAAGAGGGCTACAAAACTGCTATCTCGGATTTTCGAATTTTTTGGATTTTGATCCTCAAAAATCAAAAATATATTTGTTGAATATATTAGCCAAAAAATCCAAAAATTATTTTGAATTTCGGGAAACCGGAATATACGTGATAGTCCCTACCGTTTTCCATCTACATACCAAATTTGAGGTTGATACCTCTTTTTTGGCCAAGTTATAGCGAAAAAAAAACTGTTCAAAATTGATGACGTCAAATTTTCAAACTCAATTTTTAGGAATTCTAGACCTCGTAGCGCAAAACAAAGACCACCATTAGACTCCCCGTGACGACCCGCATCGAATCAATACCCAGTTTATGCAAAACTAACAACTTTGAAATTTGACCTTTTTTGACCTGACCTTGACCTGACCTCCACCAGAAAGTGACCTAAACCGTACCTGATGGTCTTATAACCAACACCATTGAGTTGGAAATGAAAACTTGGCCATAAAACATGCATCGCACAACCTTAGTAAAGTTGGGTTCATGTGATGACCCTTGGTGACCTGATCTGTGACCTGACCTGGTATGACCAGTGACCTCTAATAGCAACATATATACCTAGGCAACTGACGCCCTATCGCTGATTTTCGACAAAATGCGTTTTACTCGGTGTTATAGCGCTTTCCCTAGAAGACCCGTAAACGGTGAAATATTTTATGTTTGACCTGACCTGTGACGTCACCGCTGACCCCGAGGTCAATGAAATTTGGTTTCCTTAGACAAATTTGACAGGGCTATCGAACGCCGTTTGAATTTTCCTGATCCGTCCAGTAGTTTCGGAGATACGGGGGGGGCAAAAAATGCCCCCCCCCCCCCACCGCGCGGAAGGTGGCCGGGAGGCCCACCGCCTGCCGGGTTAAGTCTGTCGTAGCTTTGCGAGGAGATTCTTTATTTACGCATTGTTCATTTATATAGAATACGATGTTATCGAATGGCGTAAGGAGAAAAAAAAAACGTGGCAAAGACGCCTAAAAGGGCCGCGTTCAAGTGCCGAGTCCACGTAGATGATAGGTCAGCACCACAGCCACCAAGCGGCGCCTCACTGGCAAGATGGCTCTTCCCAACCATGCTCTCGACCACCATCTATCGACGCCTTGGGCCGGCAGCGAAATGACTCCTCTTCCGAAGGCAAATGAACCATTCATATATACCTCCAACGCCACCTATCGGCTTTCACTATAAGTTGGAAAATAACCACTCTTCCAACATCCATGGAACGGCCAATCAAATTTCATAACATCCAGTCTTCGCCACTTAAAGGCACCCTCCACAAAAAGCAAGACGACCCCTTCCCAAAGTATCAAAAGGACCATGTTCAATCACTTACCGGCTCCCTCTGCCAGCAGAGAGATGACGGTGCCGGTGAGCGCTCCCACTGCCGTGGTGAGCTGCAGGAAAATGGCCCGCCGCCGCGGTACGCCAGACTGCACCAGGATGGCAAAGTCGCCGATCTCGTGCGGCACCTCGTGTAGAATGATGGTCAGCGTAGTGATCATACCTGAGGGTGGATAGAGTTACACGCAGAGTCAGCATGGCGGAGCGCCTGTGTCGGCGTGGTGGGCATTCCCGAGTGCCGACAAAGTTAACGATTGTTAACGGGGCAGGTAGATGGCTGTGTCAGCTGGGAGGGGCGACAACGTGAGAAGGATGCGGGCATCGCTGTTTAAATGCATGTGATAATGAAAAAATATCCCCTGATAAATACACCAAAATACAATGCGACAAACAAACACAAACACAAACGACAAATAAACACAAACAACTGCGAATAAATAACACAGAGCTCACGGACCAAAAGGTATACCGCACACAAAGACAGTCCGGAGCTTTGCATTACAGATTTTTATCGCGTAAGTATGGGGTATCGGAACATTCAGTGCGCCCGTTCGGTTGCGGTTTCAAATGTCGACAGTTGTGATATGACATCGATCGCAGTTTCGAAATGTCAGCCGTCACTGAAAGGTCAGTGGTTCGGAGGGGCGCGCACGTGGGACAGGGCAGCGCACCGGATCGTTCACCCAACAGCGAGTACAGCTACGGTAAAACGGTAGCTGTGACAGCTATAACAGCCAGTGGCGGAGCCCCCCCCCCCCCTCTCCGATTTGCCCGGGCCAGTCTCACCGATCGAGTGGCCCGCCAAGTAGGAGGCGCCGATGGCCAGCCCGTCGGTCAGATTGTGGGTGAAGTCAGCCGCCAGGTTTAGGTAGCCGGCTACCTTGATATCTGGAACAGAAGGCAGGGGCTGAAAAACAGCTTCGAATATTGTCTGGGTCAGGCACACACTCAACAGCTAAAGTAGATAGGGACGTTAAAAGTCAAACACTGATACAAACTAGAACTTTCAGCAAATCAAAAAAGTACGGTCACACGAACACACGGCATAGCCAGCCTGCTATCATATTCTAGAACGGCTAGTTCGGTTTGGCAGGACATCGATAAAATCAGTTACGAATTTATCGTAGTCGTAAAATTTGTTTTACAAACAATACAAAGCTTCTGGCCACCCTATTTATATCTCACAATAGGCAACTACCGGTTACGCCAGCTGAGAAGGCAGAGATGAGAAAAAAATCGTGTAAAATGGCAAAATCATGACAAATTTCATGCCATTGCTCAAACGCTGACAAGATTACTAAATACTAATTCGAAGCTTAGCCTACCTGGCTGAGGAGCATCTTTGGCAACTTGATCACTTGACTTCTTCTCTTTGGCACTGTCTTTTTTACTCTTCTCTGCTGCCTTATCTTTGCCAGACGACTTCGCCTTACTGTCCTTGGCATCAGACTTTTCTTTTGCCTTATCACCATTCTTTCCACTCTTATCTTTCTTGCTGTCGGTTTCACGCTTGGCATCATCACTGTCCTTGCTCTTGTCCCCATCCTTCTCCTCCTTGTCCTCTTTGCTATCCTTATCCCCTGAGGTGGTCTTCGTCTTGGTCTCGGCCGCCGCCTGGTGACTGTGACCATGACTGTGGCCGTGGCCGCCCTTGACAATGCGCACGAATTTCTCCACCAGGAAGAAGGCCACGATGCCGGCCAGAACCCAGAGGCCCACGCTCATGTCGTGCTCGTGTCCGGCGCCGTGCGAGTGTCCGTGGTCGCCGTGTGAGTGGCCGTGGCCGCCGGCCGTCTCGGCACCGCTCTCCGACACCGCCATCAGCGCGTGCGGGATCAGGTGCAGGAAGGCATCCCCAAGCAAACCGCCGGCGGCGAAACTTAGCAGCACCTTGAGCAGCGGCTGCGAGGCGTCCGTGTTGTCCAGCGGGATCAGGAACAGGATGAAGAAGGGCGCCGCGCTCACTAGCAGCGTCGAGCCGATGGCGTTCAGCCACAGCGACCTGGTCTCGGCGCTGGTGCGCGTGCCGGCCGCCTGGTGCGCGGCGAACTCCTCCAGCACGCGGCGCGCTTCCTCTTCCTGCTGCTGACGCGACGCCTCGTTGGCCGCGCGCGAGTACTTGAACGACGGCGCCTCGTCGTGGTAGTGCGCGTGGCCATGCCCGTGGTCGTGGGCGTGTCCGTGGCCATGATCGTGGGCGTGTCCGTGGCCATGATCATGGGCATGTCCATGGCCATCATGACTGTGTCCATGAGAGTTTACCAGAGTAGGGAAGCTAAAGAGGATTGTAAGTAGTATCAGCCCAATGACAATCTTGTATAGTAATGCGCTTCTGTTCATTTTTACTCTTCCTTGAAAGTAACAATCAGCACAATAATATTGTGCCAGCAGGTCAACAGATACCCTGCAAAAAAGACATTAGACAATAGACATACAATGGTGAAAATGCAATACCTAACAATCATGCAGTTTTCAGATACAAGATTGCCCACTAGACTGATGCGTAATACAGCTAAATAAATTATTTGATTACAAACCAAATAGTTGCAATTACCAAGAAATGGGACAAGATCTTGAGAAACTTGTCATACTTGGTACTGCAGTCTGGCCATGTGCTTGTTTGAACTTCTAACACGAAAGACCAAGCTATACCAGCTTGGGTGTCTCTATAATATCAGCATTTAGGATCTCAACAAAGCATAACAATTGCTAGAAGATCCCATCCATGCAGAGGCACTCAGCTGGTGTGTGGTCATGCAGATTTTCAATGGTATTGGTGTAGCACAGATTTTGCATAGAGCAGTGCAGTCTGTAACACGGAACTATTGAACTGCTGTGCTGGTGTGTCAATAAATTAGGTATAAACAAGACAGAAATGACATGGCCCTGTTTTATGGCAAACTGCTCACATCTATATTACCATTGCTAACATCTAGGTACCATGAGTGCTAACATCTGCTAACACAGCACACACTGCTGACTGCTAACACACTGCTAACACACTGCTAGCATCTAGTGAGAAACTGCTAACATCTGCAAACACACTGCTATCATCTACTAACAACTGGATAAAATCAGCTGGCTGGTCAGCTGGTGACGTACAATAGCTATGTTATTTATTGATATAAACACTGTAGATGTACTTAAATACATAAAATGGCACTCATAGAACAAGTAAAACATAGATATTTAGTTATTTGTATCTGGCATTGATATATAACAAGCTCTGCTAGCCCCACCATATGTCGCCAGCTGGCAAATTTGATGCTATTGGAGACATTTGCATGTAAACTTTAATTATTAAACCAATGAAGTTACTTAATATTGTGGCAATTGTAATCGCCCCAGCACTGTCAGCTCGTGAAATACGTGAATAGGTGATAGCAGCTGGCAGCAACAGTAAAACAGGGCCCAGGGGGTTACGGTTCTATGCTGCCACATAGCACACTGGTCGGAAACGCTCCAGCGAGAGGCCAGCGGCCTTTCCGCAAAAGTTTTTTGCTTGTTATTCCACAACTAGTGAAGCAAACTTCATAAAACTTTGCATACCTTCTCTGTCATATGTAAGCTATCATTTGGATGTCAAGCACTAAATATATGACGTGAATCTGTTAAGTTATGACGTCATAATTGAGCATAATACAGGATCTAGCACCACTTTAAGTCAGCAAGGGAAATTGGGAGCTGCTATTCGGGGACCGGGAATGGTTTCATGCACTCCTTGCAAGGTCCAGTGCTTCACTTTAGCATTGTTGACTTTGCGTGACGTCATTTATGACGTCACTAAGGCCATATAAGTTTTTCGTCAATAACTCCTGATTAGATGGAGCTAGAGAGTCGGGAAAGCCACCATTGGACTCAGGAAGACCTGCCGAATCGAATGATATGCGATATGACCTCCTTCAACCATTTTCGTGACCTGAGGGGCTCCGACCTGACCTTGACCCGAGGTTAACACCTTAACCCGGCAGTTGCTGGGGTGTTTCGCCACCCACCGTTTGCTGGGGGGGGGCGTTAAACGCCCCCAGCCGATAACTCGAGAACCAATAGGCGCAGCGAAACGCACGAGGCGGCAAACGAAAGAACGCGACGAGACGCTTCAGGTGAGTACTTTAAAGTTGAATTTTGAGGTCACAGGTCGGGTCAAGGTCAGGTCAAACACCTGAAATCGGGCTTTCAGTAGCATGGACTTCAGGACTTCGCAATGGGCGCCTCTCGTCATAAACTCTGTCAAAACGGTGCACAATCCATCATATAAGGCCTACAAGAGTGTCAGCTCCATGTAGGGGTCAGTCAAGCATAGGTCAGGGTCAAGGTCAGGTCAACCGGGTAGGCAAATATCCCCGAAAATCAAAACTGATATTTGCAGCCTGTGACACATGTTTTATGGGTAATTTGGGGCGTAGAACACGATGGTGACATTCATTTTATCATATGTGTACGTGTTTGGCTCAAAAAGTTCCATTTAAGAAATGCATGTATCATGGTCGTAAAGTAGTCACGAGAAATTGCCAAGATTCAGTTCAAGATTTTGGAAAATGCGGAACGATAATCAATAATCGAAGATAGCCATTTGATTGTTCATGGTATTGGCAGTCTAATGGCGTTTACGGCATGTCTGTATGTCTGTTCTGTGATTTTATATGATTTTTTGAACATATGCCGTTTTTGGTCGAAAACTCAGAAATCATGACGTCACTAAAACCTCGATATCTCAAAAATTTTCCGACCGATTTTTTTGAAACTTTGTCACAATACACTTCATTCCATTCCCTACAAGTACCCAAAGTTTGGCGCGCCTGCGGCGCGCCGTTTTTATGCTATGGCCCGGCGAAAAAAGTGGGGGCGTTTAACGCCCCCCCCCCAGCAACTCGCGGGTTAAGTTGACTTCACCCGAACACCAAGTATAGCATTCAACGCGCCTGAGCTAGACAAACACGATGATGTCAAAATCGCGGCAGTGCGACCATTTTTGGCAAAGTAATTAACCTAAAACCGAGCCCGTGCCTTGTGGCACTTACCTGACCTAAGAGGTCACTGGCTGACCTAAGACCTTAAAATCGGGTAGTACCTAATTGTTGCGTCTTATAACGGCACACGAGCTTGTTTTTTCCGCGAGGCTCTAGCTCAATTAGAGGCGAAACGGCGAGGGAGTTGTACCAACCCTCCCCGGTCAATATAGAAAACCAATCGGTCCGGCCAGGGTTAAATACCGGAATTGTGATCTAATGTAAAAAGACGGCCCAAGGTAACCCGACGTCAGTGACAGGTGTCCTATATTTGCAGCGTCTTATATTCACGAAGGTTTCAATTTCCACTTTCTTCAGCCAAGTGATGGTTGTCAATAGCAAGGCTCTCTAAATGCAAGCCGTAATCGCCACGCAATATGTGGAAGGCTTTTGATGTCAATACATACACAAATGCATACATAAAACGCGTTTTTCACAAAATTCATAAACTCAAGCGCATCTGTTTTTAATGACCAGTCAACTACGCATGGATGCGTGCAGGCCACACAGGTCAGCGTAAGCCGGGCGCGGCGGCCGTGCCGAAACTGGGGCGGGGCGGGCGGTAGTTGGGTAAGAAGAGCGGCTCCTGCAAATTTTGCGCAAATATGCGCAGTTAGCTTTTATGTTGCCCTGGTGTAAATTTAAATCCTGCTTCATCTCACAAAAAATCAGAGTGGAACTAGATGGGACTACCTGTTGTTTCCTTACCTAAACTTTGCAGTTATATTCCAGAATCACTGTAGGAGAGCCTTCATAAAAAAGCTACAGTACATCTTAGTTAGGGAAAAAGTATGCCAAAAATTTTGCACTGACCAGTCGGCAACTTCATAACGAACATTTTGATGCATAATATGTGGGATTTCAATTTGGTGTCTATCAGCAATAAGACTCTGAATATCCGGCTCAAGAAACCTCTTGCTCCGCGTCAGTTTCCGAGTTCTGGGATACCCCATCATCGGGGGCTGATTACAGTTATTTTTGGTCACCCGGATTAGTTTTTTTGGCCTAAGTATAATAATTTGATCAATTTCAAATCGATCTATATAAAAAATAATCCGAAACTCCGGAATCGCCCGTGGCCTCTCGTGAGGGCGTTTCCGACCAGTGTGCATAGGGAGGGCTCAGGAGACAGATGACGTCACGGGGTGTCAAGGTTTTGTCGATTTTTAAGACTTTGCTGTGCAGTAGATTATCTTTTTTAGGCTCTAAGGGAGCCTGAAGGTTAATATCAAACTGCCTTAGAGCATAAAATCCTCGGAAGATTAATATTGGCGAAAATTGGTAGACAGTACACCCGCTGACGTCATCTGTCAAGGTCACCGATGTAAACAAACGACTAACCGTTCTACCTCCTATATATGGCCTTGACAGGGCCTAAATGAAAAGCAATGGTTGAGCCCCAGTAATATAGCATTAAACTTGAAACTGTTTACTGTTAACACTTAACAGTGCCTAAACTGTAGGAAGAAAATTGTTTTCTTCTGGTTTGCTCCTTGGTTACTTATCTTATTTTTCAAAGAAGGATATGCAGTACCTACCTATTAAATCGTTAGACTATTTTTTGCATGTGTAACCCGACCAGAAACAGGGATAAATAAAACAACAGTGCATCGACTACATACCTATCGCAGAGACCACCGGCCGGCACAAACCGTGCTAAAATCTTGAAAAGTGACACGTTACATACGTTTTTTGTTTGTAAGGAGCGACGAAATGTTCTTTCTTCAACTTGGTGTCACTCGAGATATCCAATATTGCAGCGTGATTCGTAAGCTTATAAAAATGAGCTCCTTTTTGAGCCGCTAATTCTGCTTTTGAACACTTTATAACTGCGACAAAAGCGGTGCAGTCAATTTTCGAAGTATGCGCTGACTTGTCGCTGACTTTACAAACGCTCTTCGTTTGTTTTCAGCTTCAGTTTTTTTTTTTTGAAAGTCAAGGTGCCTTTTTATTGAAAATGACGTTTTGCTTGACCGCTTTGTCAGTGGCCTTGTTGAGAATGCTTTTAGGGAGGAATTGCGTTTGCTATTCAATTGTTTCTCATCATCGCTGACTTGACTGCTCTTTAGAAATTTGCTGATGAGGACAGCAAATTGACAGAGGAACAATATTGGGAGCACCCATTCTTCACTTGGAAATACATTTATAGAATGTCTTCTTCTCTTGGGCCAATTTGGGCCAATTTAGCTCTTCACTGCTGTTTGTTGAATATGATTTAGGATGGGCGCCATATACTATATATAGCCTCGTTGCTGGTGCGCCCTAAAACACCAAATCATCATCAATAGGAGGGGTGTACACGGGCACCGCACACTGCTGCGTGCGGTGTGTGCGGTGCGTCCAGCAGGCGTGGGGGTAGGGGATGGGTAGACGGCTCTGACGTCACGGCTGCGTGCGGTGGACAGTCCGCTGTGGCCCGTCCCGACCGGCCACAGCGATCGCTGTGTGCGGTGACGGAAGGCTGACGTAGGGACGCAGTGGGCGGAGCCTGGAGGCTGTGTGCGGTCCGACCGCACACAGGGCCCGTGAACAGCCCTAGGATTTAGGATAGTGTATTGTAGGTACCTACTGGTTGGCTTTGCCACACTGTTCCGTTGTCTTTTCAGCCCTCGCCCCTCTTTGTCACGATGGTCAAGTCAGATCTGCTGTTGGCATCAGTTTGTTATCAGCATGCTGACAGTTGTCCCATATTGATATATGGAAGATGTGCTGCCTTTTTTGGCTTTTCATTGGTGAAACACACTGAGACTGACCACATGGATTAATATGACCAATGATAAGCTGAACAATGCCAGCAAGCTGGCAGCCTGCGCATAAACAATGGTGACTGAATAGCACCCAGGCCAGGCTGGGTGGTCACCTTTATTCAATGAGACAGTAGCTCCTCAGCAGTCAGCATAGGAATAAAGATGCTTCTCAGCAGCAGGCTGACATATGGTGGGGTCAGGGATGACTGTTAGGCTAGCTGGGTGACGCATTAGGTAAGAAAGGGCCAGCTGGCTCCGGTGGCACCCCAGGGCGACTGCCCAGACCAATGTCTCCCCCAATGCCAACCATCCTTCTGGAATCTGAATCCAAATAAAGAAAACCTATTGTTTGGTTGAAATGGCCTGACTAAGCTTGCAAAACAGAACAAAATCAAGTTTGGTTGGTATTCATTTGTCTTCCTCAGGATAAACCCACAAACATCCGCCCTCAGACTTCACTTCCTGCTAAAATTGAAGCTGAGGCCTAACTGTTTTTTTTTTTCAAGGAAAAATCTTGTTCCTTTCTATGTTTCCAGGTCCTGAATCTATAAATGATGCACATTACTGCAACAAATAGCATTATGATCAATTGAGGTGAGGTGACCTCTGCTATGCAAAGGTAAAACCATGTAGGTTATCGTTCAGAAAACAATGACATACATGGCAGACTGAATCTAATCTGACCTAACCCAGCTTATCTAACCTAACATCTTTCCAAACCCATCCTACCCAAACCTAACCCTATCTTTCTCTACACCTAACTTACACTTAACACCTTCCTCTAGAAGATTAAGGCTGGAATGGGCTAAGTCAGATTAATCTGGGTCCCTCTTGATGGATTATAATGAATCATGATATTTTCTGCATGAGCAAACTTCTTTTTTAAATTCAGGACATGGAAAAGCATGGAAATGAGTTCATCATTGAAAAGCTGTTTGAGCCTTAGTTTTTGTTTCAGTAAACCCACTTCCCTTTCTTGGCTGGTATGGTAGTAACCTTTATGAAAATGTGGGATATGAGACATCTCTCAATATACCTATCCTGTTAGATATGTGCTGATCTGGAAACTTTGTATGTTTTACTGATATACATTTATGGTAAATTAGGTAAGGTACCGTCAAGATAAAGTAATATAATAAACACATTGGAGTGAAATTGAATAAGAAAGGTTCCCATACCCTATAGTTTTTTTCTTTTTTAAAATTTTGTTTGTTTTACTCATTCGTTTGGCAGCTAGGTGATGATGAGGTATCATGCATCCAACTTCCAGGTGTGAAGGTGTGAATAGCAGCAAGGCAGTCATGGATTATGAATTTAAACAGAAGACACAAGTTGAACGTGCCAAAGTTGAAGATAACTTTGAATTCGAAGGCTGCAAAGTGGGTCGTGGTACCTATGGCCATGTGTACAAGGCCAAGAGAAGAGATGGGTGAGTAGTTTTTCAGTATGGCATGGGGGGTAAATTGGATTGGTCTGACTGCCCACGACGACTGCTTCTTAACAAGTGATTTAACCCGCGCGGGGCTGGGGTCTCCAGCCGAACGCGCGGGGCTGGGGGGGGGGGGTGCAAATTTTACCCCCCCCCCCTGTTATCTCCCGAACTAATGGTCCGATTTGGAAAATTCAAACGCCAATCGAAAGATCTCATCACGAACAACTAAAAACATGTACTTGATTTAAAGTTTGAGGTCAAGGTCAAGGTCAGGTCAAGGGTACAGATTGCAAGTTCCTACAGTATCGGCCTTGCACCGTAGTTGCCGAAGAATGGAGTCATGGACTGAGACTGATTGCCCAAAACGTGTTCTTAGGCTACCAAGACAATATTCGTTGCATACAATAGCATTCAGAGGTCAAGGTCAAGGTCAGGTCAGGTCAGGTCACCAAAAACAAAATATAGAAAAGGGCATGTGCGACACATGTTTTATGGGTGATTTTACTCATAGAATTCAATAGGCACACTCAATAAGTGATATGGACCACCTCTGGATGAATTTCAGGTCGAGGTCAGGTCAAGGTCAGGTCAAGTGAGGTCAATTTTTAAAGTTGGTTGTTAAGGCCTAAAAAGGTGTCTATCTGATGCAGTTTTTTCACGGCAAATCGAATGGTGCTATTTTTGTTTCCGTACGAGGTCTAGAACTTCCAAAAAAAACATTTTTCAAATTTTGTGTGTGTCGTGACGTCATAAAATGTTTAATAACTCCCACATTTTTGAACCGATTCTTCTAAAAATTGGTATGTAGGTGCACATAGACCACTTCTATGACATATATTCCGGTTTTTTTCGATACACTCAAAATTTTGGATTTTATAATTATTTTCCCAAAAAAGTCAGTTTTTTGGAAAAAATTTTTTGGACAAAATCCTAAATTTTCAAAAAACCGAGATAGCCATTTGATAGACAAAGTAGAATTACGTATAACCTTTTTTGTTACGCCTTGATTCCTTTTAAAATGAAGTTGTTAGCGGCGTTTGAAATTTTGCCGTTTTTGAGGCGAAAATGGCGAACATGACGTCACTAAAACGTCAATTTCTCAAAATTTTTCCGACGGATTTCGCTCAAATTTTCAGGGAACGTGTCAAATTGATGTCAGAAAAGGTACTGAAAGTTTGGCGGCGCTGCGCGCCGCCGTTTTTGAGATATTGCAAAAGTTCGCGAGGGGGGGTAAAATTTACCCCCCCCCCCCAGCCCCGCGCGGGTTAACCGTGACACCGCGCCTTATCGTTTCGGGCCGTTCATTCTCATTTATCTGACATTTTTGAAGAGAACTCGTTTTAAGATCACAGTTCTACAAGGTGGTTTACCAAAGAGGGATATGTTATGTAAATGTACAGTCACTGCGCATTTGTCATATTCATAAAACCACTGAGTCCAGCAGCAGCTGATGCGTTGATTTCCCCATGCCTCGATGTGGTGGTGGTTACTCGCGTTCTGCGCTTCTCACTCCTCCCACCTATCCCCACAGGAAAGACGTGCGCGAGTACGCGCTGAAGCAGATCGAGGGCACGGGCCTCTCCATGTCCGCCTGTCGCGAGATCGCCCTGCTGCGCGAGCTCAAGCACCCGAACGTCATCAACCTGCAGCGCGTGTTCCTGTCGCAGCCCGACAGGAAGGTCTGGCTGCTCTTCGACTATGCCGAACACGACCTTTGGGTGAGTGGTGCAGCATTGAACGGCGTTTGGCCGTGGATGTGACCTCTTGGTGGACAGTCAGATCGTTTTGAATCTTTGGTCCGTGGCTGCTCTTCGACTTGCCGAACACGACCTCTGGGTGAGTGGTGCGAGTAGTGCAGTGGTCATGGTGCTACACTGAGCGGTCGTGACCCCCTCATGACCCCCTCACGACCCTCACGACCTCGCGACCGGGGGGGGGGGGGCGGAGTATGTACAGTTCAGATCGGTGCTTATCTTGAACATTGGCTGCGACTTACGACTAAAACCTCCGATCGGGTATTGAACGGCAGCCGAACTATTTATGTCTTATTTCCGCCATAAGCTGTTACATTTTTGTGTGTGTGAAATCTTAATATCTTGTGTATCGTTAATAGGCTAAGATACTTTTTTGCGATAGCGATGCCATCAATTTATATGTCGATTAATGAGAACCTCATTATGACTGCCGAGGAGGAGTTTTTTCAGTCCGACTCCGTCGCACTTCATCACAGTACTCCCCGGTACAGTGCTACCTTGCGACACGGCCAGTGCTATTTATAGGGCACAGAGCGCACCCAGAGCTGAAATAATTTACGATTCCATTAGTGGCAGGGCGACCTGTGCGGCCCGCCAGGTGATGAGATTATTTCGGTTCGCTGACCGGGCGGTCTCATTCGGGATAGACCTAATCAATGTCGCATGTATTGCCAAGGTGCGGTCTTCAATTACGAAACACGTCATCGATTTTCGCCCGTCAACCCCGACTACCTAATTTGTGTCTACCTACGTCTACCTGGGTATAAAGTTACCTGCCCGTGTTTGAGATGTGCCTGCCCTTGTTTCCGCTTCTGTGTATGTCCGAGTTTGTCCGTGATCTTGACCTGTTGTCCGTGTACAGGGTGGGCCAGAATGATTTACCTGTTTGTTTTCAGTCCATAACTCGAAAAGTTATGAACTGATTTTAATACAATTTTGCTTGCGGCTTCTTAACTGGCTTGTGTATCAACATTTAGATCGTTTTTACTTTTTGTCATGGTTGTTGATGAGCTATGGTGAATATTACAAAAAGAGCCCAAATAGCAGCGCTGAAGCAGGCTGGTCACAACTCCAAAAGCGTTGTCAATTAGCCTGGTGTTTTCTTAGAAACCGTTAACAGTGTAATTAAATGACTTGAATAGGAAGGGTTAGTATCAACGAAGTCCATCCCAGGCAGAATAAGGATATCCGCATCAAGAAGCTGGTTGACATCGTGCACAAGAATGTGTTTCAAATCCTAGGCGAAACGTGCGGACTCTGCCAAGAGACCTCAGTGTTTCGCCCAGAATGACCAGGAGGATCGTAAACGACGACAGGCTTCAAGTCGTACAAGATGGAACGTCGGCACCTAATTTCGGCGGCATCCAGGGAAAAGTGGCTACACGGGGCCCAAAAGATATTGGAGGAGATCAGAAGCGCCGGTAACAAGGCATTTCTCTGGTCCAATGAACAAATTTCCATGTTTTAGCCCCAGAAAAAAAACTCCCAAAGCGACAAAATCTTGGCAGCTGGTCCTTCCAGCGTCGATCCTGCTATCCGGACCATTTTTCGTCGCCAGAAGCCTGCTGGTGTCATGGTCTGGGCTGCCGTCGCATCTGACGGCTCAAAAGGGCCCTTGGTCTTCATCAAGGAAGGTGTGAAAGTCAATTCAAAGGTTTAAGTCCATCTGCCGGAGGAACATGTTCTGCCTTGGGCCACACAGCCGTTCCAAGACGGAAACGTCTTGGTCCAGGACAGTGCGCCGTCCCAAACGGCCAATATCGCTCATCAGCAGACTTGTGACAGCTCAAGAAAAAAGTGAGCTCGCTCAGCTCAACTCCGCCTTATCCGCTCCCGCTCAGCTCCCGCTCAGTTTAACGCGGCTCAGCTCAGCTCACGTTCCGCTCAAACCGGCTGCGCTCCGCTCACGCTCAGCTCAGCTCAGCTCAGTTTCCGCTCAGCTCAGCTCAGCTCAGTTTCCGCTCAGCTCAGTTCAGTTTCCGCTCAGCTCAGTTCAGTTTCCGCTCAGCTCAGTTTCCGCTCAGCTCAGCTCAGCTCAGCTCAGTTTCCGCTCAGCTCAGCTCAGCTCAACTCAGTTCCCGTTCAGCTCAGCTCAGTTTCCGCTCAATTCAGCTCAGCTCAGTTTCCGCTCAGAAAAAATGTACCGACGAAAAAATGCACGGACGAAAAAATGTACAGACGAAAAAAATGCGAGACGAAAAAAGTCGGACGAAAATCTGCGGACGAAAAATTGTCCGACGAAAATCTTCTAGACGAAAAAAACGTCATGGAATCATCTCAACTAGGCGGTGTTTCACGGCCGAGAGCAGCACGCCCACGCCGCCATCCGCTCTTGGCACCCTGCCAGGAGCTGACGTTACATTTTGGGGTAGTGTTGGAACTTGGAGATAAGAGTTTGTTTATACCTATCTCCATGGAAACCCCATTTGACACGTGTGATAGCAGCGTGCTGTTATCAGTGAAACCGGTGAAACCTATAACACCACCCTGATCTCAACCAAGGCAATGTCAACACTATTAGAATTCATAGTCGGCGTGTGAATAAGCCGAGCTTTTCCCATATAATGGACATCAGAAGGTGAGAGTTCCAGTTAGCGCCTCTGCCCCACCCCACTTTCAATAGGATATGGTTGCTTAGCCCACATTCAACCAACGAAGAGGAACTTTATTTGCTAATTCCTAATTGTAAATATTTTATGCAGAGGTAAGAACCCTTATTGATAAAATTAATTTAAATAACTGCTTAAATAACAAAGTGAAGAATGCTGAATTGTACATTGCGGAGCAGAGTGTCAAGGCGAAGCATCAAAGCCTGACAGTAGGTATTCATCTTGCAGTCAGACTTGAAACTTGAGACTGGCTGTATTAGCCTGTAAATTGGCCAAGACCCTGGTCTTCCAATTTCCATGCAATATGGGTGAAAGAAATTAAGCTTGATTAGTGATTACTATTGATTTCTTTAGAGTTTTGATATTTTTAAGTGCGATCACGAAGGCAGTGTAATTGCTCACTCCATAGCTAGCTCATAGCTGAAGCATCAAAGCTTGAGTTAACACGCGCACCGACGGGGGGGGGGGCGGATATCCGCCCCCCCCCCTGAGGTTTTTCGCGGATGCCGCAAAATTTGGTACGACTATTCTCTCATCAATTTTACACATGGTGTGCAAGTTTGAACCTCCTAACTTTGAAGGTCAGGTCACCAGGTCACTTTGAATGACCCAACCTCAAGTCACTTTTTTGCAACTTTGTCACCATGCCAGAGCTACAGTAGATGTCGGAGGCCTTTGAAAGTCGCAGGATGTTATTAGGTTATTAGTAGCTACAATTTTTATATCTCGGAATTTTGATGTCGGTGACCTAAGGTCAGGCCAGTTTCTCGACCTCCCCATTATAAGTCAATGGGGGAAAAATCAACTCCCTGTTTTTACCACTAAAACGGGTCGGAATGACCCCATATACCATACATGACTTCATATACGATCAACCTTCACTACCTTGAGGTCTGTTTTGCTGTTGGGCGGCTGTAAGGTCATGTGACGTCATCAAAGGTCATCAAAGGTTTTTTGCCAATAACTCCGTACAGGAACAAGATACAGCCGCGCGGATGGTCTCATTGTGTTCAGCTCGTCAAGACGCATCGAATGATATGCATGATGACCTCGAGGTCACGTGACCTGAGGTCAACCTTTGACCTTGACCTTTCGAGGTCAACATATATATCATTCGATGCGGATTGACGAGAGGATCACGATGATGCCCTTAGTTTGTTCCTATCATGACTAATTCGAAAGTTATTCGAGAAAAACTCTCTCCTTATCTAGCGCCGCCATTTTGACTTTTTCGACCCCTGTGACGTCATCTTTGACCTGACCTGAAAATGACCTTAGTAAAAATTGTAGACCTTGTCCGTGCGTATCCGATGCCGTTTACCGCTTGTCGCTATCTTGCTTCGTTCTCGAGATCTCAGGGGGGGGGCGGTCATCCGCCCCCCCCGTCGGTACGAAGTTGGCGCAGACCCCCGTCGGTGCGCGGGTTAATTTCCAAGCATGAACTGAAAAGAATTAGAACTGGATCAGCTCAGCTCAGCTAAATCAGCTCAGCTCAATCAGCTCAGCTCAGCTCGCTCAGCTCGCTCAGCTCAGCTCAGCTCAGCTCAATCAGCTCAGCTCAGCTCAGCTCAGCTCAATCATCTCAGCTCGCTCAGCTCAGCTCAGCTCAATCAGCTCAGCTCAGTTCAGCTCGCTCAGCTCAGCTCAGCTCAGCTCAGCTCAGCTCAAGCTCATTCAGCTCAGCTCAGCTCAAGCTCATTCAGCTCAGCTCAGACAGCAGCTCAGCTCAATGCATTACTGAGCCGGCTCAGCTCACAGCTCAACAATTTGGCAAAATGTTGAGCCGGCTCATGAGCTGAGCTGATTTTTGAGCCGGCTCAACTGAGCTGATCACAAGTCTGCTCATCAGTGATGCAAGACCCACATGTCTGGGTTGTGGGACAAAGACATTCGGCCACCATCAAGTCCAGACCCGACCCGATGGACATCGCCATCTGAACCATCTTAGAGAGGAAGGTGTGTGCAACGCCACACAGCAAAATCATCGCCCTGACGTTGTCCCTCGAGACGGCATGGTCGAATCTTGGCGAGGACACCGTGCGGCACCCCTGCCCTCCGCAGAGGGACGTTTCGAAGCAGTGGTGAAGGCCAATTGTGGCCATATTGAGTCGTAGTGCTGTCGCTGAGATGTGTACATGCTGCTGAATATATGTACCAAAATCAATTCGATATCTTTGTTCAGGACCGAAATATTAAAAAAATCCTTTTGTAAATCTTTCTGGCCCACCCTGTATATCTGTGCTTTTGTCTGTCAGGAAACGCACATGTGCGCGACGCCGGTACATTATCATGTCAGTGGCTGTGCCCATGACGTCTGTCTGTGACCGGCGCTGGGTCCGTAGTACGCACCGTATCGGTTTCTGACTATCCAAGTCTCTCTGTGCTCGTGTCCATGTCGATAACCTGAATCACGCCCCTGACATGATCCTCCTGCCCCATCCGGCTGCGACAGCACATCATCAAGTACCACCGGGCGGCCAAGGCCAACAAGAAACCGGTGCTGGTGTCGCGTGGCATGGTGAAGTCGCTGCTGTACCAGATCCTGGACGGCATCCACTACCTGCACGCCAACTGGGTGCTGCACAGAGACCTGAAGCCGGCCAACATCCTCGTCATGGGAGAGGTGAGACGATACGGCCGACCGATACCCGTGGGCCGTGGGAGGGCCCCGTCTGGTGTTTTCCACTCCAGTCTGGTATGAGCTGGTTCGATCTGGAGAGTGATATGAATCTAATGATCAATTTTTGCAGTCTGTTTTGATTAAAGACATAATATTGCGTCTCTCATTTTTGACACCGGCTCCCTTGGGCGCCGATGACCACTGTAGTCCGGGCGCCCCCCCCCCCAAAAAAAAACATTCATCATCATGATCATCATGGACACCGGCTCCCTCTTTTAGCAACCTCTTAATGGTAGTTCCATTCTTGACCATCTGGACCGCACAGTGTCAGTAGGGTGACATGTAATCCTGCTCAACCCTCCGCCGTTCATCCATAGTATGGCCAATGGCCTATAACCTCTCTGAAATAACCCTTCAATTGTCACAATTTCTACCTTCTGCCCCCCCCCCCCCCCCTCCGTCAGGGTCCGGAGCGCGGCCGGGTGAAGATCGCCGACATGGGGTTCGCGCGCCTCTTCAACTCGCCTCTGAAGCCGCTGGCAGACCTGGACCCGGTGGTGGTGACATTCTGGTACCGAGCGCCCGAGCTGCTGCTGGGAGCCAGACACTACACTAAGGCCATCGGTAGGACACAACACAAAGGCTACCAGTACTGCGGCGCGGCCGCGTACAGCACGCGTCAGAATAGGGTGATCAAGTCCGGTCCCTTAGCTATATTGTATTATGCTGATGTTCCGACCTATAGGCTATGTCTGAGGGAAAATGTGCCGCCCTTAACCAGGCACGGCTGTGTTGTAGATGGGTACCCGTCAAAATTCGTGGAGATTTGGGTCGATATTTGTCCCACAACTGATTTCCTAGAAATCATTACCTTTTCATAAACCATGCACCCTAGGCTGTTCACAGTTGAAATTATTCAAAAGTGCCATTGCGCATGCGCGTAAAATGGTCCGTGACCCAGAAAAAAATAAAATTTTCTTCTGGGTCACGCATTATAAAACCAGATACGTTCACTCACCTCATGCGCGATATAACCCCCTTATCGGCAATGACCTTCTCCACACGTAGGCGGAAAGACTTGCATGTCTTGATGATGTAGGTGGGCAGAATTTCTCTTCTAGGTCACGATTTTTTTTCCTGGGTCACGCTAAAATTCGTGACCCAGAAGAAAAAAATGCGTGACCCAGGGGAATGGTTTTTACAGTTTTCCGAATATGGCAAGTTTGTTATCGAATACTTATCTCCAAGTACATCTTATCTGGAGTACCTGAGCACGCAGCAACACGACACTGTGATTCTTTTCGACACTTACCAGCCACAAGCCACAAGGGCGTGTGACCCAGAATAAAGAAATCTTATGGCACGCAGGAGATGATTTCCCCTGGGTTCGCCCAGCCCAACTGACAGTTTTCAGTTTCCGCCCCCGCTCTCTGCGCCTTCGCGGGATAGGACCATATGCAAGTCTGCAGATCCTGCTTACCCGGTCCGTAATGCTTTGAATGAGGAGCTAAGTACCGTGACCCAGAAACAAACGTGACCCAGAAAAAAGTTTGCCAAAAACCGTGGGACAGACGTTTTTGCGTTGTGCAGTTTTGCTAAATTGTATAACCAAAAAATAAGAACCATGAAGAGAAATTTCAATGTTTTTGCTATTCACAACGCTCCCTCGCGCTCAATTATCTCTAAAAATAACTACACAGCAGCTCTGTAGATTTTTTTCGCAGGTTGTGGGACAAGCTAAAATACATAGGCACACAAAAGCACGGTTTTGGAAAGATGTCCAATTTTTTTTTTGCCACTTTGCTGTTGCCTTTTCAATGATTTTTTTCTTCAATCAAATGTCCAAATCTCGCGTACGAACCCGTGTTACGCTAAAATAAGCTCATTTATTGACGTGAGGCATTATTGAAATCGTGGGACAGCATATCTCCACGAATTTTGACGGACACCCAGATACTAAAGCGTGCTGATCAACATATGCTGACGCAGTAATTGATATCATTATGCACTATCTTTTGTATTTGTATTGGTATTGGCTTACCCGAGAAAGATATATGGCAGGATACGCTAGTGAGATAGGTAACATTTCGAGTATTGACTTGCAATGTGTTAAGAACCGTAATTATGCTGTTACGGTAACCAACATATGCACATCATGCCGAGACTAGCATGCTCTCTGTGCTAGATTTAATCACGTTATGTCCTGCAGTTGCGACAAAGTGTCCTTTTCTCTAACTGCTGTGCCGTGTCGGGCAGATATCTGGGCGATCGGCTGCATCTTCGCCGAGCTGCTCACCTCAGAGCCCATCTTCCACTGCCGCCAAGAGGACATCAAGACGTCGAACCCGTACCACCACGACCAGCTGGACCGCATCTTCAACGTCATGGGCTTCCCGCAGGAGAAGGACTGGGAGGACATCCGCAAGATGCCCGAGCACGGCACGCTGCTGAAGGACTTCAAACGGTCCAGGTGGGTGCGAATGCGGGTGTTTCGTAGTAATTGACCAAGCAGGCGAGCCTAATTACTACATGGCTCTTATACGGTCTTGATGTAAGGAAGATGCAGGCGGTAGTAAATAGGCGAATGAGGAGTCGGGTGGTAGGAGACGATCGCTAAGCGGCATGCGATGCGATGTGTTAACTGTTGGCGTGCAGTGTCTTGTGTCTAATTGTGTGTCTTGTGTCAGAGTTCAGTCACGGCCCGACCCGCTGTGATCCTTTTTTCGAGCGACCCGTCCCTCATGACCGTGCCCCGCCTGTCCGACAGCTATGCCAACTACTCCCTGGTCAAGTACATGGAGCGGCACAAGGTGAAGCCCGACAGCAAGTCCTTCCACTTGGTGAGTGTTGTGGGACGCGTGGTCCGGAATTGGTCAACCAGAGCCCTGGGGTTTTACGGGGACATGGACGCGAAATTGGACTTATGAGGACGTGATTGAAGGATTATGCGTATATGTAGAACACTCCAGGCGTTTTATGGAGACGTTGGCAACTCTGCCGTCCAAAGGCAAAACCGCATATGTCGGGTCAGGTCATGACCCGACATATGCGTTTTTGCCTTTGGACGGCCGACGGCAGAACTGGGAGGACCATCTCAGTGTTGTAAATTGCAGACCTGACATTATGTGGGGCCCTGGTGGTAACGTTGCGTGGGTACGCTTGGGTGGAGCCTGTATTTCACGTCGGGACTTGTTCGTGTAATTGCACGTAATTGTATAGGGGCCTGGCTGTGGGAGACCTCTGGCGTTATGTGAACTTCTTGCATTTTTTGGATGCGTTTCATGGAAATGTAGTTGCCCGCTCGCTCCCACGTCGCGTCCGTCGTGCGGTCTGACCGATGGCCGTACCCGTCCCCAGCTGCAGAAGCTGCTCATCATGGACCCCACCAAGCGGATCACCTCGGAGACGGCCATGGTGGACGACTACTTCAAGGAGGATCCGCTGCCCACATCAGAGTAAGACTCCGATTCACTGCAACCTAATTATATCGTAAAAGCAATACATACACAAGTACCAATGTCACGCATTTATCGGACCAGAACCCGATTTCGGTGCGTTGTAATGGCTGCGCATGCTGGTTGGGGACTTAGGTCCCCCCTCTGTTGCGCGAGTGATCATCTCAAAACCGGAATGGCTGCAGGCTATGCTCGGAAACGCAATTAGATCCGAGCTTTGGTTGACTCAGCGCAGCGTGGAGCGCTGGCCAGCCGCTTAACTCTAATACCCACCGGGCTTAGTGGCACGGCTCTTGTAATGACGCACAGCAGTCGGGTGTGTGAGTGAGTTTGTAATACCATCGATTTGTGCTACTTTAACTGGTCCGATGTCGACTTACGGGCTGAGTTATTCATAGGCAGCTTTGTTACAAAACCGTGTTTGCGAAGCGATGTTCTGTGTTGACTGGTTGTTGCCAGGGCGCTTGTGTCAAGTTTTTTGCCGGGCGAACTGCTCTTTATGGGACATCGCCTAGTGCTCAGATGGAAATCCGTGGCAATTCTTCCGGCTTCAGGGCCCCGTAAGGCCGTAACGTCACTGTAACTATGTAGTCCATGGCACCAACCAATCGACTCATAGAAACATAGAAAGTAGAAACACAAACTCATGGCACTTCCCTCATCGACTTTGCCGCACCATTTCTACCGGTGACATCAACCCCACCCCGCTCCCACCCCAGACTTACGGTGACTGATAGCCTCCCCTTTTTCTTCTTTGCAGCGTGTTTGAGGGCCACAGTATACCGTACCCGAAGCGCGAGTTCCTCACGGAGGAGGACCAAGAGGACAAGTCCTCGGCCAACAAGGTGAGAAAGGTACTCTGGCTGGTGAAGGACACGGCTCCCCGTGAACGGTACGCTGTCGGCGGCCAGGCGCCGCCCGCCCCGTGACCCTGCGCGCGCGACCCCTCCCCCCGGCGCGGACGGAGGCGGCTCCAGGCTGAGGGGCCGGAGGGCATGGCGCCCCGGTCGCAGTGATAACACACACGATCATCTTGCTTCCAGAACAAGTGTGTAAAAATTCCTCACTTGTAATTCCGATAAAGTTTAGTGAGTTCAATGGCTGTAATCCGGCAGTGGTTTTAGTCCGGTGTTCATGTCAGTTGTTCGTTTGCCACCGGCCGTCTTGAGAGCCTCCGTCCGCCGCTGATGTGCCATAGACCGGTGAGGAGCGAGCCGTACCTGACACTCGACAGTGCGTGGCTTACAAGTGGGGATTTCGGGTGGTACATGTCCTGAAACCAGAACCGGTGGTCATGCGAGGCAAGATTTTTGTCCGGGAAATGGTTAAAAGGAAGCATAACTTTCGCCGTCATCATCCATCTTTGTGGGAGACGGAATTTATCTGCGCCGACTGACCAGTGTCAGGACGCATTTCTTTGCTCTTGTCCGTCCACTGTCGGGTACGGCTCGGTCGTCTCCGCTGCGACCCGCTCCACCGGGAGGATACGAGGTGGCCCGGGCAGGTCAGCTCGGCGTCGGGACCGGGACGGCGACCCAGGACCGTCACTAGCGACCTCTACCTGCCTCCGATTTACCAGTTCGGCCCCCAGTTTGTCCATCGTCACATCCCGTTCACCGTAACAGCCTTTCTAGTCCTATCACAAAACAATGACCATGTGACGACCATCACAGAACGCTTTCCAAAGCCACAGCCTGCCCGCCCACCGTAATGCACATTGCACAGCCTGCCCACCGTCAGAAGTCGCCGTCCACCTGACCTACGAGCCTACGGCTCACCGTCACTCGTTATCACAGTCAGCCCGCCCGTCCACCGTCACAGCGCTTGCGGACTTTCATTGACCCCTCTCTCTCTTGTTACCTGTCCGTCGCTCGGACCGGGCTGCTGCACTTTTTCATGTTGATTCACCCGCTTACACTGCTCTGATCACTCGAGTCGCGACTTCGCTCGCTCTGTCCGTCTTTACCACGGCAGTCGTGTCACCCCTGCTTGGAGTGTACCCTCCCCTGAGCATGACCGCGGTGCCGAGACGGTACCGGCCTGTAGACGGTAGTCCGGCGCTGCTGCCGGCGGCTGCTCCACCTCAGCTGCCAGCCCAGTGACGCCAGCTCCGACCGCGGCCCGCGCGCCGCCACACCGAGTCGAGCCGACCTGGCCTGCCCCGGCCGGCGGCCGTCCACAGCTGAGTCTGACGGCGCCTCGTGTCCAGTTCTCAGCTGGCGGTGTGCGAATGGTCACTTACATGTCCGGCTAGTTGTGTATACTGGACGTAATTTTTGCTTTTGTGTAAATGCCTTGCTTTGGGTTAAGCTGTGGCCTTACTTTTGTTTTAATTTCTATTTATATGTGGATGTATGGAACTAACGTAGCATTGTGCATGACTGTCTGTTAACATATGTGTGTTGTGTACATCTCATGAGTGTTGCGTGCCCGTATGCAAGTATGCCAGTATGCCTGTATGTAAGTGTGAATGTGTGTACGAATGTTTGTATGTTCGTGTTCATACCAACGCGTGTATATCTGTCGTTTTCCGCTGAACTGACACCGGTCCGCCGGCCGGTCGGTCTACCGTCGCGCAGGGAGCAGAGTCTCACGGTCAGGCGGCCAAGCGGGTGCGGCTGGGCCACGGGCCGCACCAGGTCACCTCGCAGGCCAGCGACAGCCACGGGCACCAGATGAGTCGGCAACAGGTGAGTGGAAATCGCCCCCGGCCCCGCCCCGTGCAGCCATGAGCGCGGTCGATACCACGACTCTCAAGCTGTGGATGGACCGCCCGCGATGCTGCCGCTCACAGTGTGAGCAAATTCTATTTCCAATTTCACAAATTCTAGCTCTCTTATTCATGATCATCAGTGTGAAGATACCCGCGATACTGTCGTTCACAGATTGAGCAGAGCATGCTCCTCTCGTTATGAGCTGGCCACGCCGTGTCCGAGGCTCATGCCTGCTCTTTGAAACACACTCCGCAGACCGCAATAAGCGACGTTGGAAACGTATTTTATCACGGGGTGACGTTCTATAAGGAGTTAAATGCACCTCTGTAGCCGGATGGGCTACGATCCCCATTAGATTTCATTGATTCCGTTTATGAACAGCATGCTCGATTTGGGATCTCATTGCGACCTCCAGGAAAACCCTTTGGGGCCATTAGTTGGATATTCTGAGAGAACGGATCGATTAAGTCAACATACTGAGATCATCGCTGAGCTAAAAATGGGCACCGGCAATGGCCAACAATTCGTGGAATGCGATTGGTAGCATTTCACTCGTAGATTATCCTGTGTCTGTTCAATTGCAAGGGCATCAATTATGGCGTCGTACCCCGGCATTTGTCGCTATTTAAGCGTCGTGCATTCCAGTGAGATTGGCAAGGTAATGGTCTCATAATGTCACGGTGACGAATATTTCGCACCGAACGGTGTGCTATTATGTCGCTCGATTCAACGAGGAGTGTATGAACAAACCGAACCATCCAACCGCATCATAATTGAATCGGTTTGTCGGTGTTTCGCTTTGATAGTAGAGGATAAAAAGAAATAAGATATTTAAAACTTTCTAATCGTTTCAGCATTCCAGTCACATGAGTCAGCAACAGCAGCAGCAACAGCAACAACAGCAACAACAGCAGCAGCAGCAGCAACAGCAGCAGCCGCCGAGCAGTATGAGTTTCGGCCAGGCGAGCGCGGGTGGACCCAACCCGAGCCAGTATGGCCAGCGGTACTGAGAGGCGACCGTCGCTGAGCCGCTGTTGCTGCTGCCGCCGCCTCCCGCTCACAGCGGCAGGGCCGGGTGGGGGACCGGGCCGCTGCCGCCTGGACTGTCACTGGCGGCAGACGACTCCCGGTGGATCACCACTGCCGGTATGTGTGACAGAGGACAGCTGCCGACAATGCGGTCGGCTGGTCCGGGCAGTTATCGATACTGTCCCCAGTGGGATGCGGTAACCGACAGTTACTTGTGGAGAACCACTGCCGATGGCGGCGGAGAACAGCTGCCGAGGCTGGTAGCGGCGGATGAGACAGCTCCCGAGCGTTTTACCAGTGGGGGACAACTACCCAACTATCGGCAGTGAAAGGCAGCTTACGTCAGCAAGAGAAAACTCCGGACTGTGTCCATTGGAGGACTGCTGTGTCGATGTCAGCAGTGAAGGAAATCTGTCGTTCCTACTTCCACCGGAGGACAGGTGACTCTTCAGTGGACGCTGCCCCGCCGAGGCATGGGCCCCCAAGGCCGAGAGCACTGTGACAGTGTGATTAGGGCTTTCTGAACGTTTCACCGTGCCCGCGACGTGTACGCCGCGTCGCTACTAGGCCATTCCTGTGGCACGATACTCGACAGTGCAAATGGTCCGTCTGGGAAAGGGTGAGCGTGCTGAGCGCGATTTTATTCATCTGGTTCTTCCAGAGCGCCGCCACTACTCAGCAGAGATGTCGCCCCTGCGGCCGTGACAGTAACCGTGACCAGACTGTCACGGCAGTAGGCGGCAGTCAGTGACTCACTCAGTCTGTGAACTGAGTCGGTCAAGTGGCGCGCTGGTTCCCGACGCGTTTGGGGCCAGACGTATGTGAACGTGTAACCGATGACCCGCCGTGTCACGGCGCCCTCCCCTGCGCGATGTCTGGCGATTCTGATTCAGGAGTACCTCCTTAGTTGTGGGTGGGTAAGAGAGCGACCCTGTGCCCCGTAAAGGTGCGATGTTTGTAGTTAGTTTTGATGATCGTGGATTGTGGTGCCTTTTGTACAAAATACATATTCGTGACAAATAAGCCGGTCCAGTCAGTCCAGGGGTTTGTGTAGATCAGTGTTAGGATATGCTGGGTTTGCGATGATTGCATCTGCTTTCTTTCGATCAGTGAATGCCGATTTGATGTATTTAATTGTATTGATTCGCACGTAGTCTGGTCGAGTGTAGGTATGAATGGGGGATGGGATAAAGATGCCTCTATCGTACTGTCGGGATTCTGCACTATTCAGCTCCTTATTCGACACAATTAGTACTGACAATGTGTATTGAACGCAATAAGGAAATCAAACATGCACCTTATCGCAGCATGCAGCATGACACGAACAAGAACAAAACAGATACACATTGGCACCGTCAGATCGTTCGAATCACATTCGCCGGTATCTGGAGGACAAGCATGCACGTTGATCACAGCCAAAACACAGCCGACGACATTAGCACAGCCGGGAAAGTCTTGACATCGATCGGTTCATTGAAGATTAAAGACGACCTTCATGTTCATGCATCCCTAAAACCGCGTGTCAGCATCACGGCCGAATCACATGCGACGTCGGTGCGCTGGGCACGAAACGAACGAAAAGAAACAAACTAAATCGAAACATGCAATGCAGACATCTACTGACAACATTTGTACACTGGGAGATGATGCTGGTGGTATACGTACCCAATTAACGTTACGTGGATCCGTGAATCGTGGATTACGTGGATCCAACGAACAGGCATGTACCAATACAGACCATTCTGCCCATAATCCCTCAGACTCCGCCGCGCCAGTGCCAGGGCGTGCCTGGTCGGCTCAGCTCTCCCACAACACCCGAGTACCCGAGTCGCCCCGGTGCAACTGCACCCGGCCCCCAGTCGCCGGTCCGGTGTAGCCCGAGTGGCGAGTGGAGTAGCCCGCATGGTCTGACCTGCTGGAAGATCTCTCACATGTCGAGCGGACTGTACCCGAGTCTTCCAGCCGCGCCCGGTCCCCCGTTGCCGACCCGGTGTAGCCTGGTGTCTCTCACATGCCGAGCGGACTGTACCCGAGTGGCACTGGCTCACAGGCGACGGTCCGATGCAGCCCGCTGGCACCGGTGTTGTCCCTCACATGCCGAGCGGACTGTACCCGAATGGCACAGGCTCACATGCGGCGGTCTGGCGCAGCCCGGTATCATCCTTCACATGCCTAGCGGCTCTGGGGTGTGGTGGCTGACCAGCTCCTCGATACTTGGACTCGCGGGGCGCAGGTAGGCCGCCGGGGGAGCGGCGGAGCACTGCGCCTCCGCCACCGTCCGCCAGCACGACCTGCCGACATGGAGGAGGTCAGAGAGACGGTGACGGGTGGTGACGCGGGCTGCCGCTTCCAGAGCCCATCAGAGGTATACAGCTCATGCACTTCAAGCAGCTCACTGATGCTGAGGATATGTGCTCTCTTTTGGTCTGTGTCTCTAAAGCCCTGACCTAAGACTTAGACTTAGACTTATTTCGTCGACTCCATCTAATAGATGCAGGATCATTTCTGTTTGTTTGTTTGTTTGTTTTGTTGGGTTAGGCCCTTTCGGTCCAATTAGACCATTTCAGAGCCGGAAGGATGATAGGAATTAGGGGGAGACATTGGTCTGGGCAGGCTCCCTAGTGAGTCACCGGGGCTGAGCCCATCCCGTAGGACAGGCCGACCAGCCCCAAGGTACTCACTGCACCCGGCTACGGGATGCGCTCCCTCGGGAGCAGCGGTGCCGCTCCAAGGGAGCAGCCCGCATGAGATAAAGTTGCCTGTCCAGCCCGGAGGGGGGTGCGGTGTGGAGGAGAAGGATTTCAGTATCCTGAGGATAGAAGCATGGAACGGTTGGATCATTTCTGATCGCCTTCCAATTATGTTGGCTGTCTGGATGAGGTGAACCTAAGGTATACACCCGTTCTGGTAACCTGCCCTGAGGCTTGCACCTCCAGTATCCCACACCGGAGTGTTTTCCACCTCCATTTCTCTGACCTGAGGTCGACGGCGGGCGCGGCCCGCAGTCCCTGCCTGTAGCGCGGGTCGGGGATCCTCAGCCGAATAGGCGTCGGGCGACGCGGTCGCTCCGGCTGCCGAGGGCGGGGGCAATCCGTCACAGAGGGCGCGCGCGTCAGTCCACGGCGGCACACACTGACAAAGTATGGTTGGACCGATCGGCGATCATGATTACAGTGAAGACTAAATATTCGGTGTCGTATCGGACAGTGAGCCGCCCAGGGTCCCTCCAGTCAATCTCGTAATGTCGCTTAAGTTCATCCTTTCTCATCTGCCTCGCTCTATCCGTCTGATCCGTGATCTCACCTGCGGGCCCCAGGGCCGTGGGTGTCAGGTGGGACAGCTGCTGGACTACCCCTCTGTTCTCACCTGAATGCCGCCACCGGGTCCCAGGGCCGTGGTGGGTGTCAGGTGGGACGGCTGTTGCTGCTGTAACTACCCCTCCCTTCTCACCTGGGGGCCGCCGCCGGGTCCCAGGACCGTAGGAGTCAGTTGGGACGGCTGCTGCCGCTGCTGGGGGTGGCCCTGTGGCGAGCTGAGCACGGCAGGACACTGGCACTGCACACAGGACGGCGGGAAGGGAGTCAGTGACAATGGCGGACGCTATTTACAGTACAGGCACACGGTTGGTTAGCCGCCCGCTAACTCAGCCAAAGTAAGCGTGCGCTCGGCATCTGGAAAATGAGGGATAATTTTCCGGGATCACCGGTAATTATTTGGTATTGCAGGGACCATCGACGCAATAAGTCATGTTTTTACATTGCTTATGTTTCGCTAATGGTTCTTTCACTCGTTGTCATGTCCGTTGTGCAATGTGTCAGCCTAAAACACCGATTCATCCCGGTCATCCCGGAAAATTATCTCTCATTTTCCAGATGCCTAATACACGCTAAGCCTGTCACGATTGGATCATGACATGACGTGGTCCGTTTATTGGATCACTAATATCTCAATCTACCTGTCCGTGATCCATTGATTCCTGACTGTTGATCCGTTCAGGCTATGGTGAAAAGTGACAAGTACCCGACATCTCTAATCGATTGTCATGTCCTTGACCTTCCACCTCATCAATGCCCACCAACCCACCACGCCGCGTTTTTTCCCGACTACCTAGCCTAACAGGCGACCGGTAGTCGTCAGCTGAATTCACATCACCCGTCCGTCCTGCAGTGCTGACTCGCCGACTGACCTGACAGGCGCCAGGCGGCCGAAAGTCGTTACCTGTTGAGTTAGTGACCCGTCTCTAATCGGCCCATATCCAGTGACCGCTGACACATCCCTACCGCACTTCCCCCCGACTGTCTAACCCGACAAATGCCCGGTAATTGGTATCTTTTGAGCCACTGACCCGTCCCTGGCCAGTCGCCTCACCCGTGACCGCCGCGCTGATTCGCTCACCTGACAGGCGGCGGGCAGAGTGCCGCAGCAGCCCGTCGGCCGACAGTGGCCGCACGAGCCGCCCGCCAGGAGATGCAGACAGAACTCGTGTGGCCGAGCCGGGTCGGAGCCGGCACACGCCAGCCGCCCGCGGGGCACACCCATGGCGACCGCTGTGGGGAGAGAGGGGCCCAGTGGTAATAGAAGTGCACGCTACATCATGCAACAGCGCAGCACCGCCCATGAACGAACAGAAGTAAAACATCATGTCAGGCCTGTTAAACATGAAGAACCAGAATGGCCTCCAGCTGGTATCTGCTATTTGGTTCGTTCAGATTTTGATCCTTTTTGCCGGTTTCAATGACCGAGCGTCAACTCGAATGAATGCGAATTAGGGCGCAGTACGGGACGTGGGCTGGTGCATACAACAAGAAACTGAATTCGTACAAATGGCAGCTATCCCGGCCCCCGGGTCGCGGCAGGACCGTCTCGGTGCCAGGTTGTGCCAGTAGGGCAAATGCCAGTAGGGCAAATGCCAGTCTTTCACGTTCTAAAAAAAAAAACGAAATGTGACGGTCGAGGAAACGAGAGACGACACGGAAGGAGGAATGAGCTGTTTATTTTTTATTTCACTGGAGAGAAAGTGATTAGGTAATTAGACATATACTAGCCCGGCCCGGCCGGGAAACTGCGATCCGCCACAGATCTGGGATAGCCGTGAGTCGTAGACAGCGTGGCCGAATTAGCCTATTCCCAGGCCAGGGCACGGACTGGCAGACTAACAGGCAACTGCCCCGGCCGGGTCAGATCCGGAAGAAGTTGCTGACGTTAAAGGTAACTTGATGCAAAAAAGCTATCTTGATATCAGTGACCGATGTGTGTGCTTTGTGCTGGATTTATCGAACGTGTTCTTGTTGGTGGGTTAGCGCGCAGAATGGATAAGTGAGTTTTTATCATCTAAGATAAATGTGCAGCATTTGTATGGGTGTGTTGAGAGGAGAGAGAGAGAGAGAGAGAGAGAGAGAGAGAGAGAGAGAGAGAGAGAGAGAGAGAGAGAGAGAGAGAGAGAGAGAGAGAGAGAGAGAGAGAGAGAGAGAGAGAGAGAGAGAGAGAGAGAGAGAGAGAGAGAGAGAGAGAGAGAGAGAGAGAGAGAGAGAGAGAGAGAGAGAGAGAGAGAGAGAGAGAGAGAGAGAGAGAGAGAGAGAGAGAGAGAGAGAGAGAGAGAGAGAGAGAGAGAGAGAGAGAGAGAGAGAGAGAGAGAGAGAGAGAGAGAGAGAGAGAGAGAGAGAGAGAGAGAGAGAGAGAGAGAGAGAGAGAGAGAGAGAGAGAGAGAGAGAGAGAGAGAGAGAGAGAGAGAGAGAGAGAGAGAGAGAGAGAGAGAGAGAGAGAGAGAGAGAGAGAGAGAGAGAGAGAGAGAGAGAGAGAGAGAGAGAGAGAGAGAGAGAGAGAGAGAGAGAGAGAGGAGAGAGAGAGAGAGAGAGAGAGAGAGAGAGAGAGAGAGAGAGAGAGAGAGAGAGAGAGAGAGAGAGAGAGAGAGAGAGAGAGAGAGAGAGAGAGAGAGAGAGAGAGAGAGAGAGAGAGAGAGAGAGAGAGAGAGAGAGAGAGAGAGAGAGAGAGAGAGAGAGAGAGAGAGAGAGAGAGAGAGAGAGAGAGAGAGAGAGAGAGAGAGAGAGAGAGAGAGAGAGAGAGAGAGAGAGAGAGAGAGAGAGAGAGAGAGAGAGAGAGAGAGAGAGAGAGAGAGAGAGAGAGAGAGAGAGAGAGAGAGAGAGAGAGAGAGAGAGAGAGAGAGAGAGAGAGAGAGAGTCGGGGATGGAGACAGCTATGCACACAGCCGGCACGATTAGACTGCCGCGGTCCGTGTGACTGACCTGAGCCAGCACCTGCCGGAGTCCGGAGTCGCAGCGGCCAGCCGGAGGACGTCAGAGGCACCAGCTGGGGCTGGCACGGTGCGTCCGGCGTGTGACGCAGCAGACCGGCGCCGTGCAGGTGATGGTGGACCGGCCCAGGTCGCGCCGCCGACGCCGCGGGGTGAACTAGACACGCCAACACGCAGGACACAGGACGGGAGTGGGTTCAACGGCCAGGGAATGGGGCTGATCATGTAATGGAATTAAGGGATGGAGCGAGGGTTGTAATCACAACAAATCATGAGAGGCTAAGAGTATCATGCGTTGTGACAGCTTTGCCAGTCATCCTGCGCCATTAGTCGACGCGCAGTGCGCTCTATCATTGGCCGCGGGCGGTCGTAACTCACCGGCGGCCCAGGGGTGGTCGGCCGGCCTCCCAGCCACCCCGAGCTGGTGACAGCCGCCGTCGGCCAGCTCCGCTCGGCCAGACAAGTAGCACGACGCTGCGTCGGCGGCCGGCGCCGGCCCGTAGCCCGCCGCCAGGCTCTGGTACACCAGCTGACCGTCTGGGCCGCGGCCGACCGGTACAAACGCGCCGGCGCCGCTGCTGGGGCGCGGCGGCACCACCGTCCACTGCGTCTCCCTGCCGTGAGCGCTGCTCACTGGGTGGTGCAGCGCGCCGCGCGCCACCCCCTCCGATACGCCCTGGCCGGCCGGCGGGTAGGCAGAGCGGTGCCCGCCGCTGGGGTCGACAGACGGCGGGGTCTCGGTCTTCACACCGGTCTGGGGGACCGGCCGGTCGGCAGGGGCGCCTCCGGCCCCGGTGCTGGAGTCCGCCTCAGCGCTGAGAGTTCCGCCCGGTTCGGCGGCGTACGGCGACCTCCGGCGGGGCTGGAACGGTGCCGAAACCCACGGTCAAGGTCGCGGACCCAAACCGCCACAGCGTTTCCCAGAAATACTGAATCACCCAAACAGGCGTAACGAAAAAAACGAACGGAAAAACACGCACGGACGGAGTGATACGCATCGTCCACCGCTACGATCCACATTCCACGCAACGGTAGACAGTTACGCAGCCGGCAAAGACTAAAAATCACGGGCAGATGCTGCCCAAAGAGCGTGCTGATCTAGGCCCCAGCTCGTCCAGGTGAAATAGTATGGTAATTCATTGTTTCCTGAAACAATAACCCAGTCGCATTTTGGCGTGATAGAGGGTGATTGATAATCCGAGTGATCCTGCATAAGCAATGGTCTAACAGTCTGAGACCTACGTAGCGCTTTAACAGGCCCTTAAGACCGGAGTGTAGTGGTCTGACCGGCAGTCCGGCCTGGTGTTATTATTTTCCCGGCAGTCAGACCTGAGTAAAGTGGTCTGGCCGGCAGCGTGACCAGCAGTCTGACCTGGTGCAGGAGCCGGTCCGAGGACAGCGAGTCGAGTAGCTGAGCCACCTCCATCAGCTTGGCCCTGGTCTCTGTGCTCGGCGGGTCGCCCTCACAGCCCATACCGGCTAAACGAGACGCCGACGGTCACACATCAACAACACACACTGCCGGTAGCATGTTACACACTGTATATAGTCTCTGAGCACACTGTCAGGACCGGACATATGAGTGGTGCGCAGTTTCTACACATTTCAGTTTTACCTGGACTGTATAAAATGAGACATAGCGGATAGATGAAGAGTCACCACTCATCCTTTCTACATGAATTACGTACGTAATATCTATTATTTTAGCATTCTGTTTGACAAAATCTCCCTCTCCCACCAGCGATTCGAATTACTTTTTGGATGAATATAATTTGCTATCAAATTAGATGCAATTGATGCAATTGCATCTAATTTGAGGGCGTTTTCTATTCATCCATTAATCAATTTTATCCGGTATCATGCATGTAGGACTTTTTACGCCCCACTTATTTATGAGTGGAGAGGAGTCATGTGCCTAATGGGACACGGGAACGGCACGAAGGCTGTAATCAGGCACAAATCACGAGAAGCTAAGTATCATGCGCTGTGACAGTTATGCCAGTCATGCTGCGTCATTACTCGACGCACAGTGCGCTGCGTCATAGGCGACCGGTCCTAGCTCACCGGCGGCCCAGGATTAGTCTGCCAGCCGCACGGCCACCCCGTGCAGACAGCCACCTAACCCAGCTGTGCCGGTGCACTCACAACTCCGATCCCACGGTACCCAGCACTCAGCGCCAAACACCCCCTCACGCCGACCTACCGAGCTCGGCACCGGTGCCGTCAGTGGCGGGCTTGGCCGCCTTCTCCTTCCTCACCAGCTCGCGGGCCTGTTTCCGCATTCGGGCCTCCTTGGGGCTGTAGACGTACGCTGAAATACACACCATTCGTCATGGGTGAGGACTTGGAAAAGCCGTCCACTATGAGAGAGTAGCATGGATATGGTTAGCAATGCAAAATATGAGCTCACTAGTACAGCTAGCTCCTGCCACAACTGCAGCTATGAGCTAAGCACGCGAAACTATAAACATAAAATGTAATGGCCAATCTCAGTCACGTAAGTAACCTATATCAAATGTAAGCCATGGTGAGCGTTGTCCAGCTGAGTTGTTACACTCACAGGGGTAGAGCCGCTTGTGCTCGGCCGCCGCCTCCTTGGCCACCTGGTAGTAGACCGTCTTCCTGTCTGCCGGCATGGCCTTCCACATCGAACCCAGCCTAACTGAGATCGACTGGTTGGTCTCGTTCGGGAACGCCCTCGCCAGTAGCTTCCTGCCGAGTTGTAAATACATACAGCAAACGACTGTTATTATAGCGTGTCTTCATTTGTCATGCGAACGACCTTCTATACGGGACACATAGTACGGCATGCCGACACAACTCGATGTGCGCAACCCGATACATAAGCATTATAACGAAGACCAAACGAGAGAACCGTGCCAATGACGTATGAATGCCGTGTACCATAGCGAAAAGCCCGCAGTGAGTCGGGTGGCACTTAACGTTGGTCATCCATGACGTCCGTCGTCCGGTGGCCAAAGATTAGTGCAGCGCCGTTTAAAAATGCGTCGTGGCCATCCGCACTCACCTGCGTTCGTTGGCAAACACCATAAAGGCGTTGGGCGGCCGACGAATTTTCGGCGCGGCGCTCGGACGCGGCTGAGGCGGCGGCGGCGGCGGCGGTGGCGGTGCCGGCTGCTGCCCCGTGTCGGCGACCCCCTCGGCGGGTCGTGCCGAGGGCGGCACGTACTGAGCCACACCGTACGGGTCGAGGCCGGGGTCACAGGTCAGGTCACCGGACAGCGTCGGGACCACGCAGCCGTCGTGCAGGGCGTAGAACGGCATCGACGGAGACAGTGCGCCGGGCACCAGCGGCGCTGCGGACGGAGGATCGGATACGGCTCGGAAAGGAGGCAGGAGAAAAACAGACCGACCGTGACTCTAGGTTCAGGCATGATCTTTTCTACTACGAGTTGAGCTTGGAAATAGTTAACGCACTAACGCAATGATGCCATAAGAGATCCCGGTTCGATAGGGTTACAGTAGGTACAGCGCGAGGGTGGATTCCCCAAAGATTACTTTACGATTGCCCCTTCAATGGATAAAATGAAAAATCCCTATGCATCAGGCTGCTCCTAACTTTATACTTGCGACAGCTGTAGAGTGTAGACTGCAATAAAGTGCGATATTTTCACAATAGGTACCTATTTCAAATAGGTTGTCACTTACCGTCGTAGTTGAAGCCGAATCCAGTGAAATTCATCTTCAGGTGTTTGGGAGAGATCTTCCCAATAATGACAAGCACGAGCTCATCTAAGCAGACGAGACACTACACTCCACTCCACGCACGGCACCATAACTAAGTTCCAAACAATCGTTATCTCACAGGCTGCACTAGTAAGATTCTTCAAGATAACTAATAACACATCCACACACATTCCATTATTGACAACAACTGGACACGACAAAGCGACCGAGGCGTGAGATGAACATGATCAGCAGATTTTTTCAACAATCGTTCGTCACGGCACGTGCAAATTTCCGCGTGCAATGCGTTCGGCGCGTGCCAGTCACGTGATCGCTCTCGTTCGCCTCCAGTTGGCACGCGGTGGGCTGGTGGGAGGCGTAGGGGGGGGGGGGGGGGAGGCAAGTGAGAATCTCAGAATGGCAATGCTGTTTGCGGTTTGACGGGTTTCCCGTATCCATACCTAGATATATCATATAAAGACATTTCTATGCCCCTATCGTTATAGAAAAGCAGGAACGGTAGCCCATTATTCTCCAAGGCCGTATAACTATAAAAAACGTCTTAATTTGAGCCTCGGATTTCACGACTCGGGAAACAAGGATTTCTGAACACATTAGGTATTTAAGTCATTCTTGTCATGTTACGCAGCCCTATGGCCACCACCATCCATCCAGCTTATGTAAAAATATTGAAATAATAAAATAGAAAGTCACAGCCTCGTACAAGCACAATAGAATTCCAACGGAACATTCCCCTACCCTGGCTGGCTGATGGCTCAGAACAGAATTGTGATCCTGACCTCATAGGCGGCGGGACGGGGAGGGCACCGGGGCACCGTACCCCCTTTTGATTTTGGCATCTTAACCCTCGCCCATGTAGGGGGGGGGGGGTTGGTGCAACCCCCCCCCCTGAGGTTTTTCTTAGCTACACGCCGAACCGTTTCAGATAGCCTGCTCAAATTTTCAGTACCTTATGGGGCATCCTTTGCGCAACTTTTGGTATTTTTTTGTCAAGGCCATGTCAGGTCACGGAGTTATGACGTCATAAAGGGAACAACCTCCGGCCAGATTTACGCTAAATTGGAGATTGCTTCACATTGTTATAAATGCCGACTGACCTGACACACTGATGGATTGTTTTAGAATCATAACTGGCTGATTTGACATTGGCACAATGTCCGTTGACATTTTGAAGGTTACTAAAGGGCAAGGTAAGGTCAGTGACCTCAGTTGACCTGTAATGACTTCTTGCACTTGTATGCCTTTTCGGGGTATTTTGATGCCCTGATCTGAATTCGAATTTGCTATCCAGTTCAGGCATCGTCGGTTGTTTCTTGTAGTTCATTTTGGGTCAGGGTCAGGTCAGTGACGTCACACGCCTGACGTGACCCAATGCACAAATGACCATGCAGACTTCCGATGCTCCCAACGCATCATTTTTAGAGTTATGACATCGAAATACACACCAAACGATAGAGAATTAATCAAGGATCACGATAATGAAGGTTTAAAGTCGATATCTCTTACCGTTTTGCCGCAATCGGCGCGGAAATCTGAAAAAGTTAGATTTTTCCGAAAATTTGACCTTTGACCGGTCATAAGTAGGTCAAATGTTGACCTAGGACCAAAAAATATACCACCAATCGCGAGATCTCGTTGAGAGCAATCCGTTGGTCTTTTCCGCTAAGCTCTACGACGCTCCGTTTTCAAACGCCAGGGGGGGGGTCGCACCAACCCCCCCCCCTGCATGGGCGAAGGTGGCAAAACACCGTTTACGGGCGAGGGTTAACATTAGCCCTATGGGCGTTGCATGGAAAGAATGGGACCAAAAGTCGGCAGAGACCCCACCCCCTTAATTGAAGGTGTTCCGCCGCAGGCCGCTACTGATATAAATGCGACTAGTGTCATGGCTCGTGAGTCGTGCCGGAAGCCCGGCGGTCACCTTTTTGTCCTGCTCGGTAACCGACAGCTCGTTCACTGCGCTCGGTCAGCTGCCGCGGCGGCGTCCCGTTACTAGCGGCCCGCGCCGGCCGCCGGCCGCCCCAGGCGCCGTGCAAAGGAGGCACTGCGCGGAACGACCGGACCAGCGCGGCGTACCGACCCGGCAGCAGAAACGGTCCGGCCGCCGACCGGTGAAGGGTGTTACGCGGCAGTGCGGCGGGAAGGAGTGTGCATGTGGGACGAACGGTGACCGGTCGGGGTCAGCAATGACACCCCGGGAACGTTCCAGCCGTGCGATGGCTGTCGGGCGGCCGGCAGTGCGCGCGCGCTGTCCGGACCGACGGACGCTGTTAGTGTTGGTGTTACTGCTCGTCGGATACATGGCGTTGTTTTCTCGACAGGCGACCGACCCGACAGTCGCCACCGCCCCGAACCCCGAGTTCCTGGCACTGTTCGACCTGGAGCCGGCAGAGTGGCCGAGTGGTGGCCTGTCCGCGCCGGTGGACTCTCCGTGTGCGGCCGCCGCCCAGCTGGCTGAGCTCACCGGCGACCAGGGGCCGCGGCTCGACGGCTGTGACTGTGACCCCATCTGTGACGAGCACTGTGAGTGCGCCGGCCGCACCGAGGAGCAGTGTGTGACCGACAGGACGGCTGACTCGCGCGCCGGGCCCCGCTGCGCAGAGGCCGAGCACCACGGCCCCGGACAGAGGCTGGTGTCGTACTCGCTGTTCCAGGCGGACGGCGGTGGAGCGACAGCCGCTGCCGACAACCAGACGGACCGGGATGGCTGGGGATGGCTGCTCCAGGTGAGCACTACGCGGGGAGGGGTGTCTAAACCGACCGGAACGGGCGGAACGGCTGGGGAGGGATGGCTCCTCCAGGTCAGAATTACACCGGGGAGCTGAAGTTAGGCCGACTGGGACGGCTGGGGATGGCTCCTACAGGCTACAGGTCAGCACCACAGGGAAGCGATTACGCGGGTGAAAATGGCTCCTCTGAGTCCTCCAGGTCGCAATTACACGGGAAAGGGGTATACCTATTTATGGACGGACCGAGACAGCTAGGGATGACTCCAACAGGTCAGAATCACACCGGGGAGGGTTAGCTCCATATGCAGACCGACCGGGACGGAATGGCTGCTCCAGGTCAGCATTACCTACACCGGGGAGGGATAGTTAGACCGACTGGGACGGCTGGGGATGGCTCCTCCAGGTCAGTAACACCTTTTTTTATCAAATAACATGAATGTTTTCTGCGCTCAAAATCATATTCAGCAGACAATGGAGGTCAACGCAGCGGTGTGCATCCCGCTGCAAAGCGACTCAAGGTGTGGGTAACCTCTTCCCTCCCCTCATCCGTGCCAGGGCTATAAGTGTGACCCCTCCCGTCCTCCGTACAGATATCAGAAGTGTAACCCCTCCCCCTCTCCCGCACAGGGTTTGAAGAGGAACGCGGCGCTCTCGATCCTGCTGTACCGCGGCTGGAGGATCCGCGTGTACCACGACACGGCGCCCGGCAGCGCGCGTCGCGCCCGGCTCGCAGCCACAGCCTGTCAGTTCGACCACATCGACCTGTGCTTTGTCTCACCGGCGGATGGCGATAGTAAAGGTCAGTAGCGGCGCCGGCTGACCCCGCGTTCGATGCCTCTCGGACGACGAAGAGTCTACGTCGTCCGGCCAATCCCGTTCAAGGTCAGCGGGGGCTCGGCTGCGGTTATGGAACGTGATTGGCCGGACGACGTAGATTCTTCGTCGTCCAAAAGACATCGAACGCGGGGTGAGAGTCGACCGGGTCAGGAGTGTCTAACGGTAACCCCGTGACCACGACCTCGTGTTCAAGGTCAAGGTCAGCTGGAAAAGGAGCGGCCGGGTCACCATCACATGTGTTTACTGTTTACCTAGCAGTGACCCCGTGACTTCGTGAACAAAGCTCAACGGATCACAGCCGCCGTGGAGTTATGGCCGTTTGACGAGGTAGTGAGACCGGCTCATGCTACCGTGTGTTTGTTTAACGGTGTTACGGCCGATCAATCACCGTGAGGGTGCGGCCGGCTGACACGGGAGTGACATTGGCTGGGTCGCCGTCGGACAAGCCGTGGTCATACCCACTTGCGCGAGGTTACAATCGGTAGTAAAATATAATTAAGCCGTTCGTATGCGTTCGAGCATGTTGGAGTATCGTATACGTAAACGTGTTTAAGATAAGGATGGAGACTGCAGAGCTCATCAAACAGTTGCAGATAACAATTTTTCCGTGTCTCGGCCCTCAGGAGTATACCGCGGGGCGTTGTGGCGGTTCCTGCCGCTCTCCGACCCGCTGGTGGATACATTCGTCAGCCGGGACTTGGACTCTCGTATCTCCAACCGGGAGGCGGCCGCCGTGCACCAGTGGCTCGCTTCCAACCGAACCTTCCACATCATGAGGGACCACTGGGACCATTTGGTGAGTGAGACCACAGGCTTCCGGCGGCTCCGGCCAAGCGCCGGCATAAAGCCAGCGGAAAGCGACCCGATTGTTTTATCTCCGACAACGCCATTTCGTCACGCACATTTACCAGATTCAGGTTCGGTCTCACCTGATTGTTGTAGCCAGTGCTTTACAAGAGGAAAGTACAAGCGGTACGCATTTCAAGTTTCACTCTCCGTTAATGGTTTTGGGAAACTTCATGCATCCATTTGAAACTTTTGATGATGGCATCAGAGAACAGACATCATTCGATTGCGCCCTGAGTCTTAGAGAGTATTGAGAGTCTTGGACAATCATATAAGTCGACACATTTTAGCTAACGTCTCGACTCTCGTACTGACATCGAAGTCGGGCGAAAACAGTGGTCCCAAATGACAAATCCATTGATACAAAGCCAAACTGGGAAAGACGAGTGAGCTACCCGCTATATCCATGGCTCCTCGGCAGGAAGAAGTCCCTTTTGCCGTATCCAACCAAGTTACCTTCACTGAAGTAATAATGCCACCAACGCATAAAACGTAGAGAGGCTGTCTGATACAGAGAAGCATGGCGACAGGAGCCACCGATTCACGAATTTGGCAGTCCACATAAATGCCAAGCGGTTAGTGCATTTGGGTTACGCAGTGCGCATTGGAAATTGAATTCCCAGACCAACGTATTTAAGTCGTAGACGTACTATGACCAGCCGTGGACAGCGCTTCGAGCAGTGACCATCGACACTGTCCCGCTAACCCGCTACTGTCCCTCTAACTCACAGATCACCGTGCCGGGCGGCCTGTGGGGCGCGCGGCCCGCGCTGCGCCGCCAGCTGGCCGACAAGCTCGGCACCCAGCTCAA